AAGATCGAAAGAGGTGTTTATATTCAATTTTTATTCCGAATATATAATCAATCATCAGAGGACCTCACCGACGGAGCATAAATCAACGGCATGGTGATCAACAACCTCAGATACGCAGACAATAGTTGATGAATATATTAACGGAACATAGTGCAAAAATGGGATTGGACATCAATACTTCCACCGTAACAACAAATAAATATTAAAATTAATAACACCACTCTTCAAAATGTAGAGAGCCACATATACTCAATCGCCCAAATGTAAAAGTACTAAGTAGAATGGATACCCTCCCCCAGATAACTAACACAACAAAAATCAGAAAAACAACCTATCTCAGTCAAACATACGAGACTGGACAGACACAGATGGTAACACCTTCATCCATCAAGTCCAACATAGATATAAATTTGCCTTGGTGAATTTGCCTCAACAGAGGCGGCACCTAGGAGGAGGAGAGATAAATATACAACGTGAACTAAACTATTTTTGCCGATAAATTGGCAACGTCGCATGGATTGAAAATTGCAATGGTCGCCAAAATTTGTATAGTCACGCTTTCATGAAACACCCTGGAAACAGTGATAAATACGCGATATATAGTAGTTTGTCACACTATTGCAGTTTGTAAAAATGTTTTTCTACTCCCGTCTGTAAAATACCTAATTACACACCGATCTAGCGTGCGGGAAGCGTCGCTTTACCACGTCAGTTTCGTTTCCCACGAATCCGAGCCACTTCGGACATTTCTGGGATTTTACCGCACGGGTTTGGGAGCAATCGAATGTTTTCGGAGATATTTCCCACGCTTTCAATTTTGACGTTTGTCAATTCTGACAGTCATGTCAGTGAATGTATTCGTGTTTTGCTAAAATGTACCCAAAAACTAACGGTCGTAGAAAAAGTATAGTATGCAACACGTTTGGTAAACTCTATATCTCACTGGTTTTTTAAGCACTCGCTCCGCTGCGCTCTGCTCGTGCCAAATGAACTCGTGAGTCAAATACCGTTTTAACAGTAATTTTATGATCAGCTAATAACACTAAATAAGAAGTAAAATTTATTATATTCTATAAAAACGAGACATTGCAAAGGTCTTTTCAAGAAAAGATAAAATAATAATAATAATAATAATAACGAATTACTTAATAGGACCTATATATCATCGGTATCGGTCTTAGCATCTCCACACATTACCCCAACTTAAACTAACTTGTCTATCGCTAGAGAAGCTATTAATTCAAGAGGTGGAAAGAACACAACTTATTTGAGATTGCACTTATTGCATAATATAATATAAAATATATAAAAATATTTTTTATATAAAAAACGTACTCTTGGTATTTGTTTGGCCACAGTGTTTCCAAACAGTTCTGATCTAACATTGAGTCAAGCTAGCTAAAATTTAATTCCGATAAAATCCTCAGAAACTAACTAAAAATAATAATAATAACATACGAGCAGATGCGCGTTAGCTTTATTATCATCAAGAACCGCGAGGAGACGTATATATAGGTTAGATATATACATTTGTTGCACGGATCCGGAATATAAATTTTCCGGGCGACGGACGGGCAAAGTGCTCGTTTATATTCATCAGCCCAAAATCAATACCGGCTTTATTCCGGCAACTGTCCTACGTCGAGTGCGATTGTAGCACAGAGAGTTCGGGGTCACTCTCCAGGAATTCGAACAGGTGAAAATTACCCGATACTTCTGCTTTCATTAAGCTGCCGTTCGGAGTAAACTCCCTTTATCGCGAACTGCATGCCAAATAAACGTCTCCGCTTTTCGATTGCGAGATACGAAAAAAGCAAAATATCTCAGACATCGAAATTTAACTTTCGTGTCAGTTTCAGTTATATTCGTTCATTTTTTTATTATAAAAATTGGTCTGAAACTCTGATGGTAAAACGAAGCCCGAGCTATTGCTAAGACACCTTGATGATATATTAATAGTCTGGAACTTCAACAATGAAGAACTGCAAGATTTTCTGTGGCACATCAACAATCTAAAACCTTAAAATAGCTTTTTACAAAACTTCTGGATTCCTTCTGCGTCGGTTTTTGCTTAGTCGAAATTGCTGACGTTTCGCCAATCATACTGTTGGCTTGACTGAAACCAGTTTCAGTCAAGCTCTGAAGAAGCGAACAGGATGATTGGCGAAACGTCAGCAATTTCGACTAAGCAAAAGCCGACGCAGGAGGAATCCAGAAGTTTTGTAAAAAGCATTACAGTAGCCTGTGGAAGTTTCTTTGAAAAACCTTAAAATAGATTTGCTGTGGAGATAAAAAATAATGACCGAATTTCATTCTGCTTCTTCTATACCAAAAGCCTACACACACTGGACAGACAATACCTAAGCTTCTAGTCTAACCATGACACGGCGTCACAAAATCAGAAATTAAAAATATTAGTAGACAGAGTTCTTACACAGATGAAGGAAACGGGTGAAAACTATATCAAAGTTGTGGCCCAAAAAATAAAATCGGTAGAGAAACAATGCAACAAAAACTTAACCTTCACTTCGAACGATTCTCTAAAGAACCAACCATATGAAGTCGAAAGCTGCCAGTCAGAAGGACTGTTTATAAGCTACCTTTAGTGTGGTAATTTTTCTGAAGAAACCTATAGACATGGGGATCAGGAAACAGAAAAAATACGATATGTGGAGGAATCCAGCATTGCTGATCACTTTTGGACGTGTAGACAGAAATTACAATAATCGTCAATACGTAGGAGAAAACAAGTTACAGAAGCACTATATACCAGAAATGTAGCTTGCGTTAGTTTTTCTGATGATAATAAATTTGGTGGTAAATGAGTATCTTAAGAAGAACTATCAAGTGTTCCCCAAATTATTGAAATTTAATCGAGATCCTTCCTAAACCTAACGAAACAAGTGTAATTGCTAAATCTTTCACGCGTGTACCTATAAATTTCAACGACATTATGTTAAAATATTCAAAAGCCAAACAATTCGCTGCATCAAAATAAAATGTATAGGAATACATGAAGTCACGCACCGTAAGAGAGAAGCGCAAACAAATAATGAGACCGCGTAGGGAGTAGGGGATGGAGACTCCAAATAACACTCGAACACGTAAAACTCAATATTAGTGAATTTGTGCATTCGACTTAAACGAAATACATAGAGATATGGTGTCGATAATTCTTATACATAAATTACTTTACTTTGAATGCATTACGGGTTTACTTATTGTTAGATGCCCACGTCATCTAACTACAGTTACTATCAGAACAAAAAACAAAAAACGTTTAGATTTTCACAGTTATTTACTGGTTTATGACAGCTTTTTCGGCAACACAGCCTTTATGTCATATTTGATAAAGGCACGGTGTTGCCGCAACAGCTGTCATAAAGCTATAAATAACTGTGAAAATCTGAACATTTTTTGTTCTAATTTAATTGTGCATCGGTTCAATCTATAAAATTTAGTTTAACCATCATCAAGTTTTCTTTCTATTGATACATTGTTTTTAATGTTACCTGAAATGTAAAATTAAAATCACACTTCTAGTATACATTAGACATTTTTTTCCAACAGGAAGTGGTTCAGAAATGTTTTTTATCTAATTAAGGAATAAAAAAGTTATTGCACCTCAGTCAAAGTTCAGAACGTATACCATATGGCCTTACGCGCTTTTGATTTGATCTTAAATTTGTTTGCTTGATCATTTCTTCTTATGGAAAGCATGTTAAAGCTTTTTGTGTAACTGTGCTGATGAATAGAGGCCAGTTTCTATTTCTTATATTATATGTGATTCATATGTTTGGTAGTTTTGGTTAGTCCAGAAGTCATGGAACATGTTTAGTAGCACAGAATACAGTTCCAAAGCTCCCCATTTTTTCCTGGTCAAATGTGAATGTGCATACACTCTATTGCCAACGTCTTTATTTCAATTAACAAAGTAAAAACGCATTTTGCTTATGCTAAATAAATTTGTAATGTAATTTACCCTTTCTCGCCTTCCACATTGCTTCCCTTTGCTACCAATTTGCGTTATCCTTGTTGATGCGAGTGTAAATTATCCCTGCAGCTCAGGAAAGGTCCCATCGATTTTTCATTTCTAAGGTTTTATGAGATATTTTTATGTACCTTTTGTTAAAATGTACCAAACAGCCTGAGAGTGTTCTCCAGAGATACGTGCGTTTTTTTTTTGTATTTTTAAACAACTGCGACTACGCCCTGGGAAATAAAATGGAACAAAAGAAGGTCCCTCGTACATTGTGAAGTAAATTTAGAATCCTTTTTATGTTGCGAACTCTCTTCGCTGTTTTGCTTATTTTGTTCGGGGCTATAGAAAATGCGTTAATGATTCAAGAATCGCGAAAACTTTTACCCCACGATCGCAATGCCGGCTATACAACTCTCTACTGATGCCAATTTTCGACGTTATTGTGCTGTGAAGTTAAGAAATTGCATTATTCGGTTTGAAGGATTCGATATCGCATATCAAAGAGTCCGTCTTATCATCGTTATACGATAGAGCGCCTACCCCCTACGTCACTGGCATTGTCGGCTCCGCGTCACCCCTTCTTATCTATTTTATATTTTTGCTGTAGCGTACAGTTCGTTCTTATCTTTTCCCTCGAGTTTTCCTGCATAGAAGAGAAATTGTGGAACCTATATTTTTGTTTCAATACACCGATATAATAACAATTCTTGGAAAAATATGTATACAATAATGACAAGCGCCTTGATACAATTTCATTTAAATTTCATCGGTTTGAATTCTAGGAAGACCCTTGAAACGTTTACTTTCGAACGGTGTATTTCTTGTTAGATATTTTCATCCAATTATAAACACAAAAATTTAAAATGCAGGCAAATACGAATCCATAATCACCATTTATGTAAATTTTCTTTCTTTTCTTCTTAATACTTATATAAGTGCCACCAGATTTTTTTTATCAGCTCTAGTTTTGGTTAGTTGGTAATACAGATTAATTGGTATTAGTTGTGATAAATACCAAAATAAAGAAACAAATATATACTTAATGGACAAAATATAAATTTCCTACTTGAAATAAGAGTCTAATTAACCTGCAATTGTCCCTGAGCCAATCCTTATATACTAGGTTTACCAGCTTTTGAATAAATGAAAACTTGCGTTAATTTCAAAATGCTATACAAAATATCCTTGTTTTTGGTGCCTTTGGGAGAGCAGAGTCGAAAATGAGTACTCGGTTAACAAAAATTGGCCTTGAAGACATGGCGCGTTTCAAGAAAATCAAGGAGAGATAAAATCTCACTTCCACCCTGGCATATCAAGCTGTGGCTGATGAAGCAATTTGCGAAGGCTTTAAATGAAAATGGAGATTGTCTGGGTTACTGGTCACGTAATTTCCCTGGGATTAGTGCGGAAAAACTAAAAGCTGGTGTATGTGATTTCATATAAGTTAACGAGACGATGTTATGTTCATTTGTAAGTATTCCCTTGGTAATTAAAAACCTCCAAATTAAGTAGAATTGTAACATGAGTATAAAAGCCACCTAGATCACTTTCCAGAAAACTTACAATTATATAAGGGATGATGGCTTAGCTACATTATGGCCAACTACTGCTGGAGTCTTCAAGTAACTCCATTTTCTAAAGTTGCATAAAAGAAAAATGTAAAGTGATAAGCGTAGTATCGTATTGTATTTGTATTTTGGTATTTTTTTATCTGCAATAATAAGATAACAGTTATAACGTATAATATGGACAGGTCGTTTTTGATTCACTCTTATTGGCTTGTGTAATTTGCCAAATGCATCCTGTCCATTTAAAAATTTTTTAGGCATCATCAAGAACTGAGGAACAACTATGAACATGTCTATAAATAATATAGTTTCATATGTACGTCGATTTTAATAAGAATATAAATATATCGGTATAATAACTGTTAAAAATGTATTCCACGTTCCACCGTTTCCATATTCTTTTCCAAAAACAGCTTAAATTTTATTTAGACGTCGCACTAATGGCGAGCAATCTCGAGATTTCTCCGTACGCGCCTCGAATTCCGTGAAGTCGACAAATCTCTCTCATTAAACGCCGCAGGCGAATCCGTTAAGAGACGCCAAAGTTCTCCGTCAAACCGGAATAATTTGTCACGCATTTTCCGTCTCTGACGGCGTAATTTGTATTGTAAAATTAAAGGGTTCATTGTATCCCCATAGCGTTATGTTTATACCGACGTTACACGCACAAATTGCTACATTGTGAGAAGGACCTGGTTTCCAAAGGGGAACCGACAAGTTGTTGATAAAATTTCCATACCTATACTAATTCTGCAATTTATTTTTTTTCTTTAAAATTTTCCAAAAAAAAAAGAAACTGAATTAACAATTTTGGAACAAAATAGAACAAAGTTATTCAATAATTTTCATGTTACAGATTTATTAACTCTACTAAATAAAGCTGGGATACATAGCCTATTCTACGACAGTGAAATAGAAATATAGAAGGAACGTAGGGTGTGTCTCAAAGTATAGCCTTTGACGGAATAATCTGGCGCCACCAATAAAACACGGGATTGTAGGACAGACCATCAGAGACGAACTTTTAAGATGTGTTAAAAAATATAATATAAATATTACATTATGCTTTTTAGGTATATTAAATCACATTAGTACTAATAGGAAATACGAAGACGCCAAATATACACTAATTCTCAATAATTACTTAAGTTAATGTTAAATTAAATGTAAAGTCTACTTTTCAAAGAAACTTTCACAGGCTAGGAATCTTTTGGATTCTTCCTACGTCGGTTGTTGCATACGAGACATTTTTTCTCAAATTGTTTTTATATCTTTCTACATAGTCTCCTTCCAGCTCTGTACACTTCTCCCAGCGATTCTCCCATGTCTCTAATTCGCCCAAATAGAACACAGCGTTTTTCTCCACAACGTAATTGTTCACAAAGTTGATTGCCTCCGCAGTTGGCGAAATTCCTTGTCCTCCGAACGCAATTTTCAGAAAAGGGAACAAAAAGAAGTCGCTTGGGGCTAAATCTGGCGAGTAATTCGGATGGTCAAGCAGTTCAAACCGTAATTCGTAGCTTCTCGACATGGCAACCGCCGAGGTATGAGAGTTGCCTTGGTGAAACAGGTTTTTTTTGCAACTGTTGATATTTTTCCGCAATTTTTGTCCTCAGCTTGTCAATTAAAGATACGTAGTACGCTCCTGTAATGGTTTTTCTTTTTTGAAGGTTATTGATTAAGATGACTCCATGGCTATGCCAAAAAACAGTCGCCATCACTTTGCCAGTAGAAAAAGTTTTTGCTTTTTTCGGAGTCAGTTCCCTCTTGGCAGTCCACTGTTTTGACTGTATTTTTAATTCGAGCGTATCATGGTGTATCCAAGTTTTATCTACATTAATTAATCGGCGCTAAAACTCGGATTTTTTGCGCCTAAACTGCTCTAACAGAGCGTTGGAAACGTTCAATCGAACACATTTTTGGTCTAACGTGAGCAAACTCGGCACCCAACGCGCCCAAATCTTGATTTAAAATTTGACAAACATGTTTTTCGGACATTTCTATAACCTCTGCCATCTCTCTCACTTTGATTCGACGGTTGTCATTCAACCCCACAATATTATCGTCGATAGTTACAGTTTTTTGATGTCCCGAACGGTCATCATCTCCTAAGCTCTTAAGGTCACGTTGAAAATTCAGCTGCTCAAAATTTGACTGTGGTACATGACGGCGCAGATGGTCCATGTACAGATTCCAACTCAAGTTTAATTTGTGTAGGTGTATTGCATTTCAAAAACAAATATATTTGCTTTTAGTAAATAGTGACGCTATCTTCAGGGTGAGGTTGGAAACTTTTTGAGTGACCCTCGTAAGCAGGTTGAGAGTTTAACTGGAATTGAAGAGGCCAGCAGAGTGATAGGCAAAACAAGCAACGCAAGAGGAAGAAGAACGAAATACATGTTTCTTTTATTTGATAACGAAGATATTGGCATCTTTGTAAGTATATTAATGTTTTTCTTTTTCTCCATCAAAACAAAGAGTTTTCCTATCCAACTTAATATTTTTATAATTAATTTCAGGTTTTTTTTAGTATGCGTTTCGTTAGATATATAAAAATTCTCTGAATTCTACCCGGTATATAGTACTTATTATTATTGGATGCCTGCTCGCTTACAAGGGTAGATATAGCCAATTTTTATTCTGTTAAAATAAACTTTTTTTCCTTGCACTATCCGGACTACATACGGACGTACAATTATCAGTGCTGGGGAATAGATAGCAATATGAAAAATCGGTAAGTTGACTCAAACCTAGGTGGCACTACCTAACCTCGCTTGGGTCACACTTTGCATACCTATTTACATTACTCTAAACCTTACTGAAACAGACTTTAGTGAATGCTTTAGTACGGACACAAGTTCTATATTTTTATGAAGAGACAGTGAACCTTATCTCAAGAAAAATTTACTTTAAACAAACAAATAAAACAAAATTTCCTAATTTGTCTTCTAAAAAAATCGCCAATTCAGTAAAAGTCTTCCAATCTCATAATTGAGATATGAATTAAAAACTCAAAATTCATACAGAGATGCGGAGATGATTTATTGTCCAAGGCAAAATGGCATTTTTTTTTATTTTCAAGGAAGAGAAAATATCAAATAAATATAATTGTCAATCTTCTGATATGGCAAAGGCAATAAGTAATTCTATTCAATTCCATTTTATCCACTTCGAAGTCCACATCCGTACAAAGTAACATTGAAACAGCGGACCAAAGAAAGCGACCGGACGACGATTGGTGCTTTGTAGGAAATTGGTAATAAGCCAAATAGTTTTCGCATTAGACCGGTGGTCAATCGAGACGGTCACGCATCGACCTAATTGTATGACCTGAAATGGAGAATTTACTATAGACGGTCGGCGTCACCGTAAAATGATTAATAAAGGAGTTTGGGGTTGGACACAGGATACACTTTTATCGATCGTTTATATTTTCGGAGTAATATGTGCATAAGGTTTTGTACGCGTATTAATCGATTGATCAATTAAATTACAAACTTGCTGCAATTTTCTACGTCCTGCACCTACCTTGGTCTGAACACCAATATGATGATCCGAACGCGGACTCGATAGTCCGAAGTTATAGGATTTGTGTTGAAAGCTACGACAGGTGATGTATATTGAATTAATTGTAGTACAAAATGGCGTCACATAAAATAAAAATAATATAATACATAAATAAATAAATAAAAAAAATAGAGAAACAAATGTAGATGTAGGACCCGACTGTGGATTTTAAAGCGAAATACCTATGGTGCATCACAAAGTCTGCTTCGAGAATTGGTTGTGGAAGATCCAGAGACTTATAGAAATCATCTGAGCATGAATAATGCACATTTTGAAGATATTTTAGAAACAACTCTTGGAATAATTCCAAGAAGCGATAAAAATATGCGTGAAGCATCACTAACAAGGATAATATTGCAAATAACTCTTCGGTTCTTGGTCACCGGTGACAGCTATGCGTCACTCGACGCCCTGTATATGGTACCAAATGTTCAATATCACTATTTCTGCAGGACATTTTGGACGCTATATATGAAGGACTTGAAGATTATGTAAAGGTTAGTAACACAATTTATTTTGTTCTCTTGTTTATTTAAGGCTATAACTCGGGTAAGATAGGTATGTCAAGGATGACTGGTTCCGTTAATACTTGTAAACGCTGCAGCTAGGGCGGTTATCCACTGATATATTATTAGACATTTCCATAGTATGTGTTCGGGCCTGTGGCGGTGGCGAAGAAATGTTACTACACTAGGTATCCGAAGGATAATAAAAATCATCTGGTGTGGTATTCGGTGATCTCACGTATTGCTAATGCCATATAATTTAAATACTGCCTGCGCTCCTGTGTTAAGATGTTTTGAAGTTGTTGAATTTTTTAAGCTCCCCGCAGCGGCAACTGTCTTAATTGGTTAGCAATGTGTTTGCCAAATGTTGTGAACTCAGTAGCAGTTGCAATATATTGCGATATATTTGACAAGTGTGGTTCTCCATTTGTATTATCATTTGTGTTATCAATATCCAATTTTGAAATCTTTTATGCAATGTGTTGCGCTTGCTGCGACGCGTCTTCAGGGTCCTCAGTCTGCTGCGACAAAATTGAAGATTTACAGCTTTAATTTCACATTTATTATATTATTTTTGTCTGTTATTTAAAAATCATTCATTTTCCGATATTTTGGGTTTATTAATATATTGTAGAACAGCTTGTAATGTTGCTCGCCGTAGATCTCTTTTTAAACAATTTTATTTCCCCTCATAGAACCCAGCAATATATCAAATCTTTCGATCATTTCATTTCTGGGGAACTTCTACGTGAGAAGGCTAAGTTCTTCTACAAAGAAATAACAAAAAAAGCCGATTTTAAAACAAGTTTAGGATGGCTTGATGAATTCAAGTAAAGATTTGGTATCTGCCAGTTAACAGTTTGTGGAGAATCACTTTCAAGCAACTACCATACGATTTGTGAAAAAATTTACTGGTATAATAAAATAAAAAACACGCGCGCGCTTAGTAAGACAAATTCAAGGTTCCGAATCCAAGAAGAGATTAGGAAGTTAGGTAAAAACTTGACCAGAGTTTAACGAATGAAGAGATCGCAACATGGGTGTCGCATGATAAAGTATCAACGTTTAAAAATTTTATTGCTTGGGCAATTTAAAATACGGTTCCCTAAAATCGAACCGTGTTCTTGGAGGAATTAAGAAATCAAGCACAAGATACAGCGTTTAAAAATAAGAATATGTTCTTTAAAATAACATTAAGGTACAATACGTATATATTGTGTAAAATTTAATATACATACATATTAAAAATGCAAAAACATACACAGATGTTTTTTATTGTATATTCGTTAATCCGAACAATTTAATAATCCTGAAAATTAGGACTAAAGACATGGCACTGGACTCTAACACCTAATACAATAATAAAAAAAGCTTCTTTTAAGGAAGGAAGTTTTTATCGTAACCATTAGGTATTTGGTTTGATGGAATACCGCGTACTACACTCTTCAAGAACGGAGAAACGCAACCGACAAGGCAATGTCAACATTTTTTCCATTTCCAAAAAGTCAGACACAGAAAATTGATCACAACATAAAATTGTGAGCCTGATCAGTCATGTTCAATATGTATTTTACTACATAATTCAAACACGCATCCAGAAAACTTGAAGGCAACTCAAAATTCGGCTTCAGAAAACGAATAGCTAAGAATCAACCTAACATGCTAAAATGCGTAGGCATACCATGTGAAGTGACACTGCAACTAACGAACCTAACCGGTGAAACTATAAGTAATAAAATCTAAAAACATTAGAACCAAAAAAAAATTGGTCAGGTGAAATATTAGGTTAGAATAACCGAATATGAGTTCAAACTCATTTTAGAAATTTCCTTAGGCTAAATTTTACGGTTTGTTCCCACCAATTTACAAAACCGTAACACTGGATGTGTTAGACTCAAGCTGATACGGTCCTAACAAAGAGGACTGTACGTCAAGTACTCTAGTTTGGTTTAAGTGCTATGCTATTCGATAGAGTTTATACAGGCCAAATGTTGGGAAATACGTATAATGTTGATTTTACAATCTCTTGACATCAAAAAAACATTCGTCTATTTGCCGATCTATGATCTGCGGATATTCTAACTTATTGATCAGAATTTTCAGTGACAAACGGGAGTTTTCAGAGAAAAGCCACATGAATAATAAAAAAAAAGAAACGTATGGTCAAGAATTAGATTTATTAAAACGAATTTGAAAAAGCCGCTAAAGAAAACAAGATAGCAGGCTTTGGCAATACTTTTCAGTTGCCTTGCTGGCCTTGTTGGTGTCTAGGATTCATTGAACTGAGGTGGCTTTTACTTGATGAAAATCCATTTATCAAAATAAATAAGAACTAAAAGCTCAGATTTTCACGAAATTATACATTTTGACATGACAATTGTTTCGACAACACCGTGTCTGTATCAAATATTTTGACATTTGATAAAGACACTGTGTTGTCGAAACAATTGTCATGTCAAAATATATAATTTCGTGAAAATCTGAACTTTTAGTTCTTATTTATTTTGTCTAGAATTAAGAATAATTCGATTAGTAATGGCGTTTTGGAATTTAATATCTGTTATCGAGTTGAGAGCCCAGCAGCATTTACTAATCTGTCTTGCTCTCGTTATTCTTTGTTGTCGATTTACGTAACAAATTTGCACAGGTCACACAGCTACATATCGATTGTAAGTACATTTGATTGTAGCTTTGAAATTACGTTATACGAGTGGCGGATTCAAACAAAGGCCACAGGTCACGGGTATGCGGACTGCCCGACACTGATCTGCATTAACCCGACTCTCATTAGAACTGTGGTTGGCCCGACTGCAGGCAGCTGCGTAATTTTAACGTAATGTGTACACGTGGTACTAAAAAATGTTTAGGTTTTTGGCGCTCTATACTACATTTGTTTTGTAGAAAATTTAAGATATTTAGTGTTTAACCAGTCCTGTTTGGTTGGTCTATTCTTGAAATCAAAAATAAAGAATTGCAGCTTGAACATAATAATACAGTTATTGGAGCACAGTGAATTGAAGATTCTTTTGCCGTTATGATAGAAACTAAACAGTTGTTGTCCGAATTCGAGCCTCATGATGGGTAAACATCTTGAAAACTGTGAATTAACAAAATTTATCCGATACCATTCATCATTATTAATTATCGATTGAGGTGAAGGACCACTTCTTCTATGAGCTTCGAACTTTATAGAATACGAGTGATTTAATTGATTAAGGGGTAAATATATACTATATACTGTTCTATTTGATGCTGATGAGTTGCAAATAATGATCTCCAGTTAACTTTTTTTTGTATAAATGTCCATCTATGACACCAAACCATACATTAATTGATTGATACCCGTGGGTTTTTATTTCGTGTATTTGTCTAGGATTATTTAAAGACCAATATCGCGTATTTTGTCTATTACGGCTCTTTCTTGTAGTGAACGAACTTTCCTCAGTCCATAATATGTTTTTCAAAAAATTCTTATTCTCAAAATATCCAAATAAAACTCAATCTTCCTTTGACAATGTTCTGCACTTAGTTTTTGAGTGTTACGAATTTTGAATGCATTATATTTATATTCTTTCAAACTTCCTCAAAATTTTCTATTATTGCCGATTTGTCAAAAACGAGTGGACTAAAATATAAAGTTTGTTACATCATTGGAGTGGGAATAAGATGTTCTATTAAACACATATATAATATGCATGGCATTCCTTTTAAAAAAATATGTTGTAGACTTATATGTCAAAAAATTGATATTGTGGTGTTTTATGCGTCAGTTTGAAAAAAAAAACTGGCTACTAACCCTACATTCCGTTTTTTTTTATTTACCTTGATATATCTAAAAACAAAAAAGTTACAGGCAAATAAAATGTTATAAAGATAAATTGAACTCACGGTACATATATAAAAAATTAAGATTCATCACTGGATCAAGAAACAGTCACGTTACATTAATTGAAACCGAGTTTTAAAAAAAGTACGTAGATTAGATACAAGTGAATTCACGGGAAACCTACCTATATTAGTATTGGATAGATATGAGACACTCATGAAGAAGTGTACATCCCCTTTATAGTATCTAGAAACTCTCGAAAACCCCAAGTTTCACGTTTAATGCTTTAATGCCCGACCAAACAAAAACAGACCACAAAATAGCTCGTTTGTTACAACACGCCTGATGCATAGTGGGGCCTTAATGCATGGCCGACGACCCAACTAATTACGCTAATTATAAGAGGCAGTGATTATCGGCAAGTAAACAGAGAATAGATTAATAAGTCAATACAGATAAACGCAAGAGGCACCATGATCTTGATGTCAAAAATAGACCTATAATTTTAAAGGTTGCTCCGGAAAATCCTGCCCAACAAAATAAATATACTACTTTGCTATAAAGAACAATTCAAATTTCAACTTGCAAATTCAAATTTTAAAAACGTATATACCTAAATGACGTCTTATTTGCTCTGCAAATAATATGCCATTCATATTTGTCAGATGCGTTAACTGCTTTCCAAATAACATTGCATTGCAAATGACGCAGTCAGGTCTTGGCATCTAAAAAGACGACCTTGCTTATTCAATAATACCCAACCATTAAACAATACTATATTTCCTCTTTTGAGCTCTTCATTTTCTACGTAAAAAGACCTAATAACTCTTTAACAGGACAATAATATAGATGTATTTTTTTGGACTTGATTATTAAATATTCAAATCGCGTGTCATGTCATTTTTAGTAGACTCCCTAAATTTCAAATCACAATTGTATCTATATGATTATGTGATGCGAAATTCGTTAAATTAAAAACATTAAAGAAATAAACTAATATTATGATAAATCTTGACGTTTATTTTACAATTTTACAAAAATTAGGCCCAAAATTTGGAATAATGTGGGAGGGTTGTTTTCACAAATACAGGAAAGTTAATGAAAATGTTTTTTATTTTTTGAAATGAATTTTAAATAAGCATTTTATTTTAAATTTAATAAAATTTTAAAATTTAATTTAATTTGATTTTGAGGTGTAAGCATTGAAAATGTGTTGGCGAATGTAACCATTTCATTCATTAAAATAATTGTAATTTAATTAAATTATTTTGAGAATTTTTAAATTAAACTCAATCAAATTTAAGTATGTTATTTTTTTTTAATTAACTTCAAGCATTGAAAACGTGTTCAACAAACGAACGTATAGCACCTCGGATTCAATTTCCAGCAACATGTAAATCTAATGAAGAAACAATGTTTTACCTATAATTTGAAGTTTCAGAATATATACCGACACAAGAAAGTGGGAACACTCTATACGTATTAAACGGCTTGAAATAATGTTTTGAAATTTGTAAGGGTTAATATAGGCTGAATTTCCAATTTTTTGACAATATATAGTCAGTGGTTGTAGTTCCGGTTTGAGCGGAAACAACAGTAACTTTCGAATTTAAAATGGCTCAAACTATTTTTTGAATTTTTTGATTCAGGAGATCATTCTGCGCAGGATAGGATCTGTTTTTCTTTTTCCACTGCATGAGCTTGTCGAGAGTTTCTTCTGCATTTTTAATCTTACCGACTTGACAATTAAAAATGGATAGAAGCAAAGCCACCTAAGTAATATTTTGTTTTTATAAAAATGTATTTACTTATCTGGGTTTTCCCTCCTTGAGACCTTATTTCTTAACAGATTTTGAAAATGTTGGTGTCAAAGTGTTGCAAAAAAAGTACCGGTTTTCAAAAAATTTTTGTTCCTACTATTGGAAAAAACTAGGTTCTGCTAAAAAAATAATAGTTCATCACATTAAATGCTATTTGCAATTAGACAAGTAAAGAAAAGTTTCATTTACAATTTTTCACATGATCCTACGTAGAATGATCTCCTGAATCCAAAAATGCAAAAAAAAATGTGCCGTTTAAAATTCGAAAGTTACTACCGTTTCCGCTCAAATAATTGGACATTCATTCTATATTAACATTTCAAATCGCTATCTCAAGCCGTTTACAAATTATGGAGTGCTCCCACTTTCTTGGGTCATCCGGTATGCATTTTTTTTATTTGACTTGCTTTTGTTCGGCCGCGTTTTTTCTTAACAGTTTTATTGTTTTTGGTTTAATTCAATACCTTTACTTTTGTTACAGCAGACGGGAAGAACTAAAGTCGGGAATGTTTTAACAAAAAAAAACGTATCTGTTACAAAAATAAACATATCGAAGTCCAGCCAAGACACAAATGTCAGAGGAACACGTCCCAGATAAAAGGGCGAATGGAAAGGCCCCATCACTCCAAATTTAAGACCAAAAATCATTAGTTCATTTAAGTCGTAAATATAAAAAATATATTTTTAAAAAATCGGATTTAAAATTAATTTAACTGTTAAAATTATAAAATATGAAAAAGGTACCATCAAAATTTATAAATCATTTGGCAGGTGTGTATAAAAACGCTTCGAATTCATCTTTTTACCTGCTTCGATTTAGTCGTTTTGCCACTTTGACCCGAACGGGGAACAAGCAGGCCGAGCCGCCGATATTGTCTTCGAAGAAAATTGCCTCAAAATTAACATTCACTATAAACTGAGCTAAATTTAAGTGTCTATGTTATCATCTAAAGAGAGATCAAGAATGTTATCAAACCCTAGAGAGTTACTGCGGACGCTAGACGCAGGACGTCGGTACTGGTCTGGCATCCCGGCGAATCGCTCGTTGCGTCACGACGTAGCGAAAAGGCGCCTGCTCCGCACGGGGTTGTAAGGGGGCAGGGGAGGTCCGGAGGTATTATCTGTATATGGTTTGGTGACCGAGTTTTTTTCTGTTTCGTTTTATCGAGTGTTTTGTTAGTGATTTTTTGTGGCAATTGGGTTAAACCTGTCGTTTCGTGGTCGTCACGAACAAAACGATAGATCGGACGAAGGTCGTGTCATGTTCGAAATGTAAGAAGTCTACGACGGAATAAGGTTCTCCACAGAACGTTACAAATCGGTAGAAAATATTTCTCCACGGGAGCTTTGTACCTTTTCTACTCCATCACTTTTTCTCTAGTTTTAAAAAACCTTTATTCTTGACTCATGGCGGGAGCTGCAAGTGATGAGAAAACAGTAGCCGAGTTGACAAATTACAGTACAGAAAGCAATCAAAATTCATCAGATTGCCATAATTTTTCACAGTTAACGTATCGGTTTCCAACAAAAAATTTTTAGATTTTTTAAAAGCCAGTCTTAAATTATAGTATTAGATATCTTTTACGGCAATGTTGAAGATCGAATACAAAGTATACAAATATAAGTATAACTTATTTCAACTCCCTTACTCACGGCCACTCGAATTAATAAATGCCAAAGTAAGCAATTCTATTTCTCCACTTTTACTGTAATTTTTCTCCCCGACATTTCAAGAATAAACCCTTGGATGACGGATTGTTGAAAACAACATAATAGAAGACGAGCTAGAATTCTCGTCTTGCCTTCTCTAACCGATTGCATTCTTGAATGCTTAATCGGGCAAAATTCTCTAAAGTTGCCAAAACGGCTGACCCTTAGGGACGTCTTATTTTTTGACATTACTCTATGTCCGACAAATAATGTAAAGTTGTTAAAACATTAAACAGTATATTTTAAATGGTACTGGTTAGTTTGCTTATACTTGCTGATAAAAAAAATCCCAAAAGTGATTACTCAAGCCGAATGAAAAAACAGCTATCTTTCATTCGATCGAGGAGGAAAAATGTTCTGAATATCTCGGATCGACGATGGGCTCACGGAAGTCATCTATATCAGTTAAAGTAAAGATTATGCCAAGTTCACTTTTCCCCCCCAATGTTAAGGAAATTGTGCTCATATTCTCTAGGATACCATATAGCCACTAGACATATTGAGGCCCTGGCTATGCTGACAGTACAGGAACTCATGAAGCAACTATGTAAAATTGTTTTGAGAAGGTCCATTCAACGTGCGCATGCGCGAGATTTAAAATTTCGTTTTCAACCAGTGGCAGCTCTAATGGCAAATTCTGAACTTGGACCCATAAGACCTTGCGACTGTCAGCATTTTTTCCGCACAATTTTCTCAGTTGTTTTTCAAAAACGAATTTAAGGTGTGGAAAAGCAGTGCAGAATTGCAGCACCCGCGTCGGCGTCAGTATAATTCTGTAATTAATTTCGCGTTTTTGTTCTTTACGCCCTGTAATTTCTGCATATATTTTTTCATGTAAACTATTTCTTCCCGATTTTTTTTTTTGTTTATAAATCATCGCACATCGTTAGTTTGTTATTTAGTTTTTGAACTGTGGAAAAATGCTCAAGAAACACCACCTCCTATAGACAGTAAGTTGCCAATTGGTATTTCTTACGCTTGTTCTAGTAAAAATTCAACTTGTAGCTTAATCCTTCGTATCTATTTAAGTGTACCTAAAAATGAAGGGAATTCTGTTTAGTAATTTCTGTAAGTCTATTTTCCAGTTTGTTAAATGTAAAATATATAGGAATCACTGTATCTCTAAGATCCTATTGGGTCCTCATATTTGCCACATTTGCTGTAATGTCGTAAAAGAACAAAGTGTTGGAAGCACAAATTACACAAGTTTGTGAGTACGGTACGGAGATATTGACACCAAAAATGAAAACCCCAATGGCACAGGGCACCGCTGCTCTGCGACAATTGTAATTACTTAGCTCGGCGTTGACAATTACGTTCGGATTTCAGAGATTGGTGTTGCGTTCTTATAAAAATTAATCAATTTTACAGAAAAATTAGGGCAATGTAGCAACTCTGACAGTTGTAGGCTGACGCATGCGCAAAAGATTCTCTCTACAAGTATATCATAGCCACCTGCGGCGCAGCAATTTTTAGCCTGTAGTTACTATGGGGTTCGACATTTGTTGATCGGTGTCCGTATACTCCACTCGGGTTTTAGAAATTTCAATATCGAGCGTATTAAGTACATCACGACGTCACTGACGCATATATCAAGCAGTCAGTTTCAGACATTCTCGGGATATTGACAGCAATCGGATGTTTTCGGGGTTATTACCTACAGCTTGAATTTTGACATTTGTCAATTCTGACGGTGTTGCTTTGCAGAAATGTACCCAAAAAGTAATCGCAATCTATATCGTTGTTCAAAATGCATAAAGCCGTATCTCGTTTTTTAAAACTTTACAGTAGAAAATTTAATAGGAAAATGGTTACCATAACTGAAGCTTCACTAAAAAAATATTTTAAAGCAATTTATAATAATAATTGGATTATGTATCTATAGTGTCTAACTTACTATTTCTAATTTTTGGGATAGGACTTCACGTCTCAACAACGGCGTTTCTTTGTCAGAAAAAACGACTTATAAGCAATTTCGCAACGTTTAGCGTTGTTTTTATGTAAGTTTATGTTACTAAGAATCTTAAATAGTAATGTTGAAGATGATGTATCCGCCTATATAAATGGTTTGTGGACTACCAGGAGACAGATCGCAACGTTGACACCATGGTTCAAACATTCACCTTCCAGTTTTACACTTTTTAACATTACCACTAGAGGGAACCGGTTGAGTTCTAACGAAATCATGCTTTGAACTAAAAAGGATAAGATAAAGGGGAAGGTCGCGTATACTGTTACGAATGCCTTCTACTATTTGTGTGCAAGTGCTAAGGTACTGTCATGACGGTTGAAAGTAATGCATCACACTGAAAATACTACAGTAACTTGTAACGGATAACAGCACTTCATTTATATTTTACTAAAAAAAAAATCTATTTCAACATGATTTTTTTTCACATTATACCTTCCAAACTTTAAATTGAATTGAACCGTACATCCCACGCGATTTCCGTTTTCATGAATGGACGCAGTCACTAGGGCGTTACAACTCGTGTACACTTTTTAACATTACCACTAATGGGAGCCTTCCCCTCTATCTTATACTCTTTGCTTTGAACGTAAACACCACTTTAAGGAATCATTTTTATGAACCATTTATTGTTGTAATATTTGTTAAATGTATTCGTCGGAACTCATGAATAACTCCTATTTCTGTTGCGAAATGTTTATATTCCAAACTATTTGTAGGGTTTTACATTACATAATGTAAAAGTTGAAAAATGTGCGTCTCACCTACCCTTACTGAAATATATGCAATGAAAAGTTCTTGCCGCTGTTGCTAATTTCAAGTCAAGAAGCGCCATCTATTCACAAGTTTTAGAAACTGTATGACATAACAAAATAAACTGTAAATCACATTTAAACAACATTATACTGACATTATTTAATATACTGACAATTTTACCTACGAATCACTCAACTAAAAATATTAGCGAAACGTTCAGGTTAGGTTTGTATGATTTTTCAAACTTGACAGATATAAACCGACTGCCGGTCCAACATAGAAAACTTGAACTTCTATACAAGTAGGGACAATTTTTAACACAAAATTATCGGTTTATCTTTCTTTTTAATCCCTCGGTAAGTTCCTTCTAAAACTGTTTTACAAATTCGTCAATCTAAGGGCCAGTAACGTAAGCACATTTTGAATAATAATGGAAGCAGAAAATTGTTTCTAAACAATGAAATAACCAAAATGGGCTTAGCTGAACCCTTTCCTTTTTTGCTTTCAATAGACTAGTTTAATTTGGATTATGAAACATTGCTGAAGAAGAAAAACATGGAATGTTATTAGTTTTCTATTTCAATAATATATAGACAGTATTTTTTGTATTGTATGCTATGACAATAATGTTGAATTGAATTTTATCTAAATTTATTCAGCGGCCTTAACTAATGCTTCCCCAACTTCTATTGCAATTTCAGCTTCAGCTCGAGCCTAAAAGAATGCCATTACGTTTAGAAAGTAATTACAAAATTATATTTTTTGGGCAATTACCTGATCATTTGCAGCAGATGACAATTGACTCTGTGCTTTACTAAGAATATCCCTCGCTGCTGAAAGATCAATATTTTCCACTGGATGAGCTTCTTCAGCCAATATCTATTGAAATTAATAGTAGGTTAAAAGTAGGTAGGTACATATTACGCTTTTATGTTTTTACCTGTACTGACGAATCATCGTTTATGGTGACAGTACCACTAGATACAAAAATTTTCTTAACATTACCCCCATCTTCATATACAGATACAACTCCGGGTTTCAGAACGGCTAATGTGGGAACATGTTGTGGGAGGATACCGAAACTTCCAGAAAAAGAGGGCACGTCCACTTGTTTAATGCTTTGAGAATCATAATACACCTAAAAATGTATGCTTTAAGTCCTTCAACTCATAGAACAAAAAACACATTTCTTTACTACCTGGTTACCTGCAGCAAAAGTGAAGCTCATTTCCTCTGCATATCCTCTCTTGAGAGTATTAGTAATGGCTTTATTGCTTAGAAGACGCGAAACTGATCTCAGAGTGGCCATTGTTTCTAGATCACATATGTATTACATTATTAACTATTTGAATATATATAGCTAAGTTTACTATTATATAACATTGAAAAGAAAAGCTTAAAGCGTCATGGTAAAACACAAAAAGGATAGACATACCTTTGGACGTATCCTATGTAGAATGTAAGTTTTGCTTTATAAATTTAACGACAAAATTTAATAGAAATCTAAATAAATTTCAATTTCGATTCCCAGAAAGAGATGACCTACAGAATAAGGAAATAAAGAACCTATATCTCTTCTTCTTCCTTTTAGCTTTCAAGAAAGTTGGGCAAATTAGTTGAAAGCACTCGTTCATTACCGACATAAGTTCGACATGTTTTCTGTGACTTTAATTACAAATAATTAATCTCTTATACAAAAAAAATGGGAATGGAGAGCTAGCTTCCGGCGAAGTATAACCGGCTAGAATAACGAAAATGGCAAAACCATGCGTCACAAATTCATTCAAACCAGCACTACGCTACTACAACGTAAAGTAGGCCGATCTATTAATTGATTACAAGTGGATTCTTTCGGGAACGGACTAGGTAAAACTTGCCATATGCACAAATACAGATATACAAAATCCACATAGATGTTAGGCATGAGCATTAAAATGATATTTCTTTTAAGGTTGGTTTCGTTACCATTAAATTTAAATTTCCAAAAAAGTACTTTTCAAGTGCCGTATGTTGATTAAAAAAGCGACATTTTTGTGTCGTTTGCAAAAAAGGCAGATTCCATTACTGCTTAAATCCTCATTTTCAACCTTAAATTTATGAGGTAGGTTGTGACATCATTAGGTTCAATCCTTCTACAGGGGTCAGTAATGGAAGACGAAGAGAACATCCATCACGGACTAGCAAATAATTCGTAGAAAGCAATATAATATTTGTTTATGGCTTTTGCAACAGAAAAACAGCGCTATGGACGAAGTTTCGGTTATGATTCTCAAAACAGGACAGGCAAAGGAAATATGTTTTTCACTTTTTTTTTTCGATTTGATTACAGTTGATTGAAGAGCAATAATACAAAATTTACTGCCGAAATTTTCAATTCCTATAGGCTGCGCCAGGTTTCTTGGAGTACTTGCAAGAAAGCATGCAGTCTAGCAACTGTAAGGATAAAAAAACATTACCTTACCTTAAGTATAAAATGCATGGTAATCAACAGAAACCACACCATACGGGTACTGAAAATTACGCAACATTCATACGTTGATAATGTCTGACCACCAAAAATGTTGATATTGAAAAATTCGGAATTATGACTTCATTTAGATATAATACAACATAATTATTTGAAAAATAAAAGAGGTTTATGCTTATACGAAATATATGTGTCTTCTTGAGCCCCTTGTGTACACACACAGGACATCAACATGGGATGTTGCAAAGGTTTCTGGTTTCTTTGCGCCTTCTGTCATTATGGCCAATCATTATGTAAAAAAAAATATTTCTAATCATTGTTGCCGGATAGGTTATCGGTTAAAGTATGTATTGAAAGCTGAGAATAAATGTTGGTAATAGTTTTTTATTACTGTTGGCCTGTAACCAAAAGAAAAAAATTCCTCAACGGACGTCGGTAATGAGCGAATGGCCAAGGTAGCCCTCCTCTTTGTTAATAGCAAAAAGAAGAAGACGAATCCATGGCTATTTACATTTACAATTTCGTTACATAACCAAACATTTTTTTTTTTCAAAAATGATATTTAAAGGAATTAATCTTTTTAAATGCAGTAATTTGAGGTTTTATTCTTCGAACGATAATGCAGTAACGCAGTTTTTGTCTGATATTTTTGGTTAGAGTAAAATTTTGTCAATTTTAGAATAAAAACTTATTGTTCTAAATTGTAGGACTCTCCTTTCACGAAGCCAAGCGATTTGTAGAAAAGTTTAATCTCACAGGTAAAAACCCTGAAACTTTGAGGGAATCCATAAGTTTTTGCAAACGTTTTGGATTTTCTGATGATGACATATTAAGCAACCCATCATTGCTTACTGTGCAACCTTTAGAAGTTCATAATCATTACATGGCACTTGAAGAGACAGGGTTAACCAAAATTTTTCCACGTATTTTAGCTAAGTAGGTAATTTGACCTGGGTTGTATTACAATGCAGTTTAAGTATCAGTAGGTATTTTTTAGAGCCCGTACCTATATGAAGAAGGAGATAAGATTTTTTAAAAACGCTGATTTATTGAAGGTTGATGCCAATGTTGCCAAAAATTTTGCTCAATATTTGGACATACCTCCGAGGGAAGAATTAATAAATGTTGTAAATGACAACAAATTGTGGAGTGAAGTACATAATCTGATTTTACGTGACTATCTGAGTAAGTATTAAAAAAAAAATCCAATTGATTTATGATTTCTGTTCTAGAAGCAAAATTGGGTGCAAGTGAAGAAGATCTAATTAAGCTTTTTCGTATTCATCGAGTTATAAGAAATAAAAGCTTCCGAATGATTAGGGAAAATATTAAAATTGCTGAAGGGTTGGGATTCTCGCCTGAAAAGATATTAAAGTGTGGATATTTATTGCACAATTACCCTGAATATCCCAAGAAGGTTTTGGGTGATTTAAATAACATTGCCGGAATTGATATGAAAGTTGCTATGAGAAGTTATCCTAAACTAGTTATGGTTTCTCCAAAAAATATCATTAAAGTATATGGAATACTTAAGGTATATTGGTAGCTAATTGGCTTTTGCATGCTTATGACAATGCCTTGTAATCTTTCTTAAAATTATAGGAAATGAATATTCCAGATGAAGTGATAAAGAGGACTCCAGCTATCTTTCAAATATCACCAGAAACAGTTAAGTATAGGCTCGAAGAAATTGAAAGAATCCCAGATCTGAGAGTACTTCTTGGAAATCCAAATATATTAGAGCTGGTAGTTCATCATAATAAAGCTACATCCAGGCTATCATTTTTACAACAAGTAGAATTGAAATGTGCAAGTCTCATGCTGTTATGTAAGCAATTTTATTCTTGTTTGGGTTTTAATTAAAATTGAAATTTTTAGCTTCAGGTACAACTGAACAGTTTGATAATCACATTAAACAAGGAACAGATGCCTATAGTTCTAAAGACGTGTCAAACTTTTTAAAAAGCCTTTTTCAAGAAGATGGAGAATCACTTCTGAGTGCCATTAGAGTACACCCTTTTTACTTAAAAGTTCCTTTCCTTCAAATGCAGAGAACCTACGATTATTTAATTAGTAGAAAATTTGCACCTTCTAGTATTCGACGAGTTATATGCCTAATATTATACCCAAAGTGAGTTTCATACTAGGCTGTTGCTAAATATTTAATTTATTTTTTTAGGAATAGAGTTGAACAGGCTGTTGGTAAATTAAAAAATTCAACATTTATGCATGTAAAAGGATTAAATCAAGTGCAAAGGTTAAACATAGTTCTTTATCTGATTGAAAAGGAATACAATTTTTCTGGTCAAGGAGTATGGGAGCGAGATTGGGACATTCAAGAGGGTACAAAAGCTACAGAATCAGTACCTGAAAAAATTTTAGAATAAAAATTTTCGAAAATTTATAGTCTTTCATTTGTTTTTCGAGTTATGTTAAGATTATTTGCTTCTGTTTGGAACAACTTTTAAGAGACCTTTAGAATTGATAGAAATTGAGAAACCCTATTTCTCTTTTATTAGGACATTTACTCTTAAATGCGAATTTAAATGGATTCATCCTATTCATGGCACAGTAGTTACTGGCTAATTGTGGTGTTCAACAATTTGAAATTTAATATGAGCAAAAAATAACTGCTTAATTTTTTCCCAATCAACCTGACTTTAAAGTTGTCAATGGTTTTTGGCCCACAGTCTGAAAGTCATGGAACGCGGCAGGATAAGACGCCAACTTTTTAAACTTAAAAACCCCCAATATTCATTATGGTCCTAACAAAAAATGAATGAATTTTGAGGTAATACTAACCACATATAAACTTGGTGCATATTAATTATTGTCTATTTTAATTTCTAAAAATTCGATTTCATTATCGCGATTTGATTTCACTTACCTGGTAAATGATGTTAACACCAGATACGCGATACCAAACATTGATCCTGCTCAACCGGCAACCCCAAAATGAGTTGATTAAGGGCATCAGTAATCTATGCATTTCATGTTCTCTGCTGCACCTAACCTCAAATTATAATTCGTGCTTTTCTTAAATAAACGTCAAGTTCATTTTTAGATAGTTTTTAGTGTGTGTTACGAGTGCAATATGAGGACAATTTTTTTTTTAAACATCCCTAAGTATTTTACTCGTGTTTAGTGATATCACCGCGCGATGGTCGTGTCATAATCAAAGATTTTTCATTCATTCCGAGAAGAAAAATTCTAGTTTTATTGCCTAAATTTTAAATTATGGATTCCAGTAAGAAATTTGATAACCCCAGTCCAGAAGAAAAGGCGAATTATTGTTCACAGTTGTTTTTTTGGTAATAAATTAACATTTCAAAATTATATTAATAGTCAGATGTTAATGTTCATTTTCTTATTGTTATTTATGAATTTATGAAAAAATCTTGAATTGCATATTTTTGATGATTGCGATTCATATTACGGAAATATGCTAACTTTAGATTTTCTATTCACTGTTGTTTGTGTTGGTATTAAATAGATTTAGGCGCTCGTATAATAATTTGAAGGCTGTAAACGTTTTTATGTGGCTAATTTTTATAAAACTGTGCTGCGAGACGTGCTTTGACTATAAAATTGAAAATAAAACCTAGTTGGGATTTTTATACACCTACCTATCTATCTACAGTATTATTAATTAACTTATAAAATTAATTTTATTTATTTATATAGCAAATTACTTTAAAACAGTTATAATAAAGTTTTCTCTTAATATTCAGCAAAAAAGATAGATATAGGAAAGAGGAACTTATTGCGGTTTTCTCAGCTTTTATTATTATTATTATTATTATTATTATTATTATTATTATTAGTCTCTTGTGTGCCAATGCATTAACATTTATATTATAATTTGACAACATTTCATAGTAAAAAGCAACAATATTACTGTTTAGCTGATGCGTAAGGAAAAGTTGGCACGGAGGGCAATAAATTCTGATAAGGCGGTCCTGAGATAATATGCTGCGAAATTTTTGAGAAATTTACAATTGGTATTACGTCCTTTAGTGGCTATAATAAGAACATGAACATAATTGGCACTTATTTCTCTTGACCGTATTTACTGAAGCCTTTTAAGTTACTATAAAGTTCGATAGCTTACAGTGCTTTTAACAAACAAGTAGAAACAGCTCACAAGTAATTTATTGATATACATATTCTAAAAATTTTGGTAGTAGTATGAACTTGGGTATTTTGAAAGATAACGGCATCGTCAATATTTGTATATATTTTATTATTTCTAAAGTAAACAAAATTGGTCGGCGTTTTTGTGTTATTTTGATAAATAATATTATAAATCTGTCGGCCGGAAAAATGGAAGCAATTTTTCAAGTTAATTTTTTTCTACTGATACATATAATCCTAAATCCTGATAAACTTAAAAAATATTTTATATAATTTAATAAATGTTTCAAGTTTCAAGAGGTCCGTACTAATGTCCATTATATTAAATTTTACGTAATATTAAATTATTATTTTTATTATATTCAGTGGGTCCTAGAGCTCTCTTAAGAGTTTCCTGTATGAAAGCAACATTGGGATAAAATGTATAACTTGCCATTATATTTTCGGACCACATTTTCATGGACAACATGCAAATGTAATATTGGACTAATTAAGTGTACTGTTTAGTAAAAAAAGTCAGAAGAACTTTACTTTCGTTCTGACCTTTGCCTTTGTAAAATACTAATTAAACTTGTTACGTCGATCTATGCCGATAATCGACAAATCAAAAATTAATCCGAATAAAAATGCCTCGTCTAAGTATTCTTAAAGTATTTACTACATATCCTAACTGAGAATTGGTTCAAGGTTATCAATTTGCACCTACAAACTAGGAATAAGTCGTTTGTATGAAGTGTTTCGCCGTAAATAACTATGTCAGTAATTTAGCCGTGATAAATTTTCTGATCATGGAATCATGGATTACTGAGTGTACAAATCAGAAATATTGCATTAAATTGAATGCAAAAAGATTCATCATCATTTAAGTTATCATACATTGCTCATTTAGTAGGCATATAACCCTATGGATAATGCAGTAAAACTCAACTAGTAGAGCTAATTTCAAGACTCATGCGATACCTGGATTGAATTAATTTTATAATTCGAAAATCGTTTTTCGTGCGGTTGTTACTACGACAATACGGTTATTGTGTCGTTTCTTCTACCTAGGGCTATACAAATGTTTTTCTACTGCCGTCTGTAAAATACCTAATTACACACCGATATAGTGTGCGGGAAGCGTCACTTTGCCACGTCAGTTTCGTTTCCCACGGATCCGAGCCACTTCGGATGTTTTCGGAGATATTTCCCACGCTTTCAATTTTGACATTTGTCGATTCTAACGGTCGTGTCAGAGAATGTATTCGTAAACTAACGGTCGTAGAAAAAATATAGTATGCAACACGTTCGGTAAACTCTCCGCTCGTGTCAAATAAACTCGTGAGTCAAATCCGTTTACCGCACTTGTTGCATAATATACTAATTTAAAATTTTGAGTTTATGATAGCCGTTAAGTAATAACTAACAAATTTACCACAAACAAGTGGTAATACCAATAAATATTTTTTTATGTTTATTCTACTTTTATTTATGCTGGTAAACAAGCCAGAAAGTCAATTTTTTACTTAGGTTAGACCGAGGGTTAAACGATGCATGAATGCAATATATCGAATATGTCACATATATCAGTACCCATCACTCACCCAAAAGGACTAGTTTAACCACATTAGATGATATAGTGTTCTTAAAGTCTATATAAAAAAAAAGGTTTGGTTTTTTGTTTTTCTCCATTTGTAAATTAATAATCCAAACCAATAACCAGATAAAAATTTACAACCTATGGGAATTTGTAATGGTGCAGATATTCAGGGCAAAGCCTCATAAGTGATATTTTATTTTTATAAATATGTATTTACTGATCTAGTTTTTCTTTCTATGATAAATAAAAACTACTTTTGATCAAACAAGGAATTTTAACTTGGCTGTTAGTACTCCTTTCGATTCAACAATGCAGGTTGTAACTTTCAGTTTTATGGGGTTGAAGATAAAGCCCATCTTTCAGTACATTGCTTCTAAGGTTCTATACTTATCGAAGCGTATTTCAGTAAGACTCACATTTGTTTTTTGTTGGAACAAACAAATCTTCATTTTTTTGTGTGTATTATTATCAGACACTCAAAGAAAAATAACACAAATATGATTATCTCAAGAACTAATTCTGCGACTGATAACGACGGTAAACTATTCACGCCCTTTCACGAATACTGTTTCTTTTAATTTGGCGCTTTTTAAGTATCAAATGTCTCAATGAACACATATAAACGAACATATAACTCTATAGCGACCGCCATTTATTCTCTATTTAGTAGTACTCATCTATTGTTTCGTCTGTCGTTTTACTGCTTTGTTGTAGGTCGTGCTTAGTTAGTTATTGTAGTCATTTCCGGCTAAAAATGTCATATCCTGCATAGGATTTAATCTATCTCATGATTAAAAATAAAAGAATATAGGGTGTGCCATATGGTTTAACGCATATTGTTATTTGATGGTACCCACTGTAAAAATTGATACGCCTTGGGCGGCAATAATATTTTCGTAAAGATGTTGGTTGCTGAACGCTGCTTGGTCTTATTGGTTGGGAAGGAGATTTGAAATTTTTTTTTATTATAATTCGCCCAAAAATAATAATTTTTGGTTACCAGACAAAAAAAAATTTGTTGCCTTTTTTGAATTGATGAGATGAGAACACGCGTTCGAGTTTAGCTTTCATACGGGTTCACCGATAATTTATTTTTCATTCATTTTTGAAAAATATTGCAAATGTCAACAATTTTCTCTTTTTTTTCTCATTTGTTTGAATTGTTCGCAGTTGGGTATTACCCTTTTTCAAATACGGATACAATAAGGACTTGGAAGTAAAGGACATCTACAACAGCGTCAAAGACGATTTATCTGGCCCGCTGGGAGATGCCTTAGAAAAGTAAGCAAAACAAAATTCCTTTAATTGACAAAACCCCAAGGACTTTTGAATTTAGGAATTGGAATGAAGAAATAAGAAAGGCCCAGAACAATAAGTCCAAGAAAGAGCTCAAACCCAGTTTGCAGAGAGCCATATTCAAGACTTTTGCAAAGAGCTACTTCGGTTATGGCGTTTTTCTGTTTCTTCAAAGTGTCGTTATCAAGTGAGTACCTTTATAGCTCGTTCTAGTTTAATTTTAATTTGCATAATCATGGCCACACTAACAACCAAATAGGTATAGGTACAGTCAAGTTTTTATTTTTTATGTTCAAAACCATGTGGAAAAAACAAGCAGTCTATACAAATTCCTGTTCTTTACTTTAATTGTTATTTTACTTGAAGTTGACTCAGAAACAGAGCTGCTAAAATCAGTTCTTACCAAGTACACATTTTTTAAGTTGTTTAGGTTTTTTTTTAGCAAGAGTAATTGAAAACAAAAATAAAGTCGATTTTGATCAATTTGCTTTGTGTCGTTTTGTTAGTTAATGTACGCATAGGACGTGTTGAAATAATTAAGCTATTTAAAGAAATAATACAATAAACTATATTTTGCAAATTCAAGCTACAACAAAAGGGTTCTTTCGGTATTGTACGCGTTATTTTTTATTGCCGACAATCATATCAGAATCGGATAACACCTTACTCTACTCACTTTACACCCAGAATGCTCCTGCCTATAGTCCTCGCCAGATTCATCAAATTTTATGACAAAGCGGCGACGAAACAGCCTATAGAAGTGGGGTGGGCCTTAGGAATTGGAGTAGTGGGATTATGTTTCCTCAACATTGTAATTATGCACTACTGTCAGATGGGCATCCAAAGGGTTGGTATGAGGGTTCGGATAGCAGCCTGTTCTCTCATTTACAGAAAGGTATATAATTACCAGATTGTATTCCGAGTGGAACAACATTGTTTCCTTCTCTGATGTAGTTATTGAAACTCAATCAGCAATCGTCGGGGCAAACTGCCGCCGGTAAACTGGTGAATTTATTGTCAAACGACGTTATACGTTTTGACATGGCGTCGTGGTTCCTGCATTATATTTGGATCATGCCCATACAAACTGCTATAGCGCTTTACATTATGTACAGTTACATTGGATGGGCAGCGTTGCCAGCATTAGGTGCCATAACTTTACAAGCAGTTCCTCTACAAGGTGGGTAAAGTTCAATTACGAAATTTTCCTTGATTTCTTGCATATAAAACCCCTGAAGGAAGGAACAGGTAAGGATGTAAAATTTTTGGTTAGTTTTGCTTAGTTCTATTAATATTTATGTCATTGAAGGTTGATTTTATTTTAATAATTGGGAGCCATGACTATTTAAATATTAGTTGGGATTCCACCATTTGTTTTTTGTCGTGTTAGTTTACTTGGTTCTTTATTTTCTTGGCATCAAAGTTCGTCCCTTCTCTTTTGCATTTCAGGGTATCTTTCGAGTCTTCAGGGCACTTTGCGGGCTAAAATCGCCCAACTGACAGACAATCGGGTGAAACTAATGAGCGAAATTACATCCGGCATCCAAGTAATTAAGATGTATGCGTGGGAAAAGCCATTTGAGAAAATCGTCGAAGTCGCGAGAAAGTAAGTCCAATTTCTCGAAGTTTTCAATGCGCAATAATTAATATCCTGAATGCTCCAGAAACGAAATCGATGTGGTGACGAAAACTTCTTACTTGAAAGGCTTCTCCTTAGCTTTGATGCTGTTTACCGAAAGGGCCACTTTGTACATAGCTGTGATAACTTTCGTGCTTACTAATAACAATATTACCGGTGAAGTCGTGTTTTCTATGGCGCAGTTATTGAACACCGTACAACTTTACATGTCAATATTTTTTCCACTGGCCCTATCGACCTATGCCGAAATGAAGGTGTCTATGGAACGGTTAGAAGATTTTTTGTTTTTGGAAGAAAACAAGGACGTAATTAAATTTGAAGGTACGTTATATTACATGCATTATATAAAAAATAAAAATTATCCATTTTAAAAATATGTGCGACAGAGCAATGTCTACATCAATATCTTACTTTAGGGTTGCGGAATTGACCGCCAATTTTTTTTGTGTCAATTGACCGAAATAATTTTTAAAATGCAATGAAATTTATATTGTGCGTTACGTCGCCATCGCGTCGTTCTGAGAACTAAATCGAGTATAGATATTTTTATTGGGATTTCCCGAATTGCTAAGCATCGTATTGGGGTACTCCTTGAAGAAAGTTACGGATACAGTGGGCATCACAAACGCATAAAATTTGTTATAAAATACATATTACAATTAAATAATGATAGATAACACTCTACATTTGTTATTTAAAACATTTTGATCGAATTTCACTACTCAATTAAGAAATGGTCAATAGACCATCCCCAACACTTTCTTACTTCCCCGTAGATTTTGATTCTAGATTATATGAAAAATTTTAGAACTTTTTTCGATATAAATATTTGCACAAAATTTAATATGTGGTCAAATAGCTTAGATAAACCTGGATCATCATTGTCGGTTAAGAGTATTAACTTAATTCAAGTTTAATTTAATTTGAACTTATTTAGGAATATCTTAAATTATTATGTTTTAACTGGTCAGTGTGTATAAGCCTGTAATATCACATATTTCCACAATTTTTGGCAAATGAAAATAAACTTTATCTGCTAGGTAAATAGTAACTTGAAATGCTTACAAGAATTTTTGGCGTCGTTGGTAAAAATATTAACAGAAGTTTTGGAAAAAAATGTTAATAGAAAACAAATCTCAAAATTCAATAACATTGCAAAAAAAGCGAAAAGGTCACGAGAAATACTGCCCATATCTAGCGAAATTTTTGAATATTCCTGACTTTTGTAGATGAAATTCCGAAAAAAACCGGCGCTATCAAACTAAGTAATGTCAGTGCCAGTTGGTTGGCAAATCCGATCGTCGAAAGCCTCATCGGCATTAGTTTTGAATTAAAGCCCGGTACTTTGTGTTGTATCGTGGGCTCGGTCGGATCGGGAAAGAGCTCCTTGCTGCAGGTACGTCTAAATAGTGTTGTTGTAGGTCTTATTCAAATATCCTTAGGTTCTTCTTAAAGAACTGCCCATTAGTTCGGGAACCATGGAAGTATGCGGACGCGTATCGTACTCATCGCAAGAACCGTGGTTGTTTGTCTCGAACGTGCGCCAGAATATTTTGTTTGGTGCCCCATACGTAAGAGCCAGGTAGGTCAGTTAAGTACAATTTGTGGTGATTTTTTTTTATTTTGTACTCTGCGAAATCATTAAAAAGGTACAAGGAAGTGGTGCGCGCTTGCGCATTGGAACGGGACTTTCAACAGCTGAGCCACGGGGATAAGACGCTTGTAGGTGAACGTGGTACCGCCCTTAGCGGCGGGCAGAGGGCGCGCGTTGCTCTCGCACGCGCGGTCTACCGCGAGGCTGACATCTACCTCCTCGACGATCCGTTATCTGCGGTGGACGCTCACGTGGGCAAGCATTTGTTTAGGGGCTGCGTGCAGGGCTTCCTCAGAGGTAAAACGCGGATACTCGTAACTCATCAGGTGCAGTTCCTAAAGGGCGCCGACATCATTATAGTTATGAACAATGTAAGTAATCATTTTTCCATACGAAAGAAAGGAAAAGTAGTGCTCAATACTAATCAACAGAACAGCCTCAATATAATGAGACTTTAAATATATTTGTTAACGTTTAAATGATAATTGGTTTATTTAAGAAATTAATAATTAGTTTAATTCATGCATCTTATCATTTTACTGTAGTTTGCGATTACTGTGATTGTATTATAATTCATATTTTTTTGGAACATTACGTGATCATTTTTAATAATAATAATAATAATAATAATGAACGACTTTTATTTCAGATAATAGCATAACAAACATATAATACATGACCAATTAGTTGTACCGTCGACTGGCCAATCTAGCTTAGAATTACTGAACCAGTGCGTGGCACAATAATACACATCAAAATTAAAAAAGAAATTGATGATGACGTCCTATTCAATCTACGAATTTTTAAAACATGATTATGCATTAGAAAACCAGAAAAAAAATCTGCAGATGCAGTAATTGTTTCTTATATTTAATTTTAATGTATTGAATTATAATATTTTGCGGCGTTATACGAAAAACTTCTCCGAAACATGGCACTCTGATGATGAGGCCATGTTAAAAATTCCCTAGCCCTAACATTCCTGTTACGTATTTCGGGGCTAAACACTATTCGTTTGCGAATCGAGGACAGAGTATCTTGATCGTTTATAGTCTTTATTAAAAGTGTACAGAAATGTAGGCTTCTGTTTATATTATATATTTATTATATTTTCTTAAGCCATACACACTCTTCTACACTCGCTTTCATTATCTAGACAAAAATCATATACAAAATTACAATAATTAAAATTCGATAAGACAAGGAACTCGCACAACTTTTTCCTTAACTTTTGACCTAAAATATGTCTATTACTGTATAATATTTTTAATATCGTATAAGGCATTTGAAATATACTTTTTAAATGTTCTTTAAATCTTAGCTCTTTAATTAATAACAACGTTAAGCACTGTGCCATCATTTAAAACTTTTAAAGAATTTTTTATCTTATTCATCCTATTTTTCAACTTGAGGAGAGATCACTCAAAGTTCAAAATTATACAACCCGGTCTAATACCTAACGCTTTTAGGGTAAAATTGAGAAAATGGGAACGTATAAAGATCTCTCCGAACACGAATTATCCGCTTTGTCAAAAGAAATAGAGCAACAGCAGGAAAGGCAAGAACAGGAAGCAAAAAAAGAACCCACCCCCGAGATTGAAAAGAGGGATATTAGTGTCTTGCAATCCATTTCTTCAGTCGCCGTAAGTTCCCTTTGCGCTGGTAGTTTCGAAAGTTTTGTTAATTGGTCGGATTGTAGATTGTTTAAATTTTGTCATTTTTTTTACCTACCGTATCTTGCAGAGTTCCATTTTTGGTGAAGAGCCCGAAGAAACGGAAGAATTGCTCGAGAAAGGTTCTTTGGCGAAGGATACCTACTTGGAATATTACAAAGCCGGAGCATCAGTACTCAACCTTTTGTTTTTGTTGTTCTTGCTGGCGATTGCCCAAGTGACTTGTAACGCCGTCGATATGTGGGTGACTCATTGGTAAAAAATTGACACTCGCATGGTAGTAACCGTCACATAAAATGTTTTTTTAGGACCAATATGGAAGAAAGAAAATTTAATAGCACAAACCGGTTACATGTCGGAAACGACAATATTACAGAGACAACGATAGATCCAGTATATCAATCCTCAAATTTTTCTGAACCCAACAGTACTGCCGGGCAACTACCTCTAAGTATTCAAGATGATGACTTTTCACAGAACACTTATATTTACGTTTACACAGCGCTAATTATTGCTTCAATTATATTGACAACAATCAGGTATGTTGGTTATTATTTGATCCATATTTCCCTAGCGATCAAAAAATTTAGGTCACTTAGAAAATTACAAAGTTTCTGGGAAAAAAAGTTTTTCATCGAATGGTCGATCTGGTAGGAGAAAAATGATCTGTCCTATTGTATTTCGTTAACCGATTGTTTTTTCATTATTTTCGTTTCATGATTTTGTAGGAAAACAAAAAATGTCTATTATAAACAAAGCCCAATTAATTTTTATTTGTAACGAAAGAAACGAGTAATAACAATATTCAGAAAACCTGAAAATTAATAACTTATGTTCCCTCCCCTTGCGTTTTTGACTGCTTATAATCGACGAGGCATGCTTTGAATTAAATTTCCGATTACGTTCTGATCGATGTTGTTCCATTCTTGCATTAACAACTCTCTCTCTTTTTTTGGGGCACTTTTTGGATGCTGTCTTCGAATGCATTGTTCCATCTCATCCCATACATATTCAATGGGATTCATGTCTGGACTGACAGCTATGGCAGTGTGAGGTCTAGCATTATCGTGCATAAAAATACCATCTTCGCCCATGGCGGTCATTAAGGGCGTAGCATGGTTATCCAGAATTTTCAACCATAAACTCCAACCAAACCACCACGATGTGGAAGTCTTTCATCAATATAACCTAGGGCATATTTCTCTGGGTCTCCTCCATACTCTCTGACGTACACCTGACCCAGAGAGGCAAAATCTTTGATCGGTTCCTGGTCTTTTAGTGATCAAGCCAGTCTTCTCGTAGCGTTGGTATACCTTTTGTACAGCACATATACTCCTACTAACAATTCCTGCACTTTCCTGTTTTCCTCGACCATCTTGTGCTACAATTCTAACCACAACGATAGGATTCTAAAGGCATTATGACCGGTTCTAAGATCTAAAATACACTAAGCAATCATGAAGTTTTATAGAGATGAATGAACATTATACTGGAAAGTATCTAACGCTAAAATTTTTAATTGGGCCCAAATTACGTCATTTCATAAAAGGTTGAAACGCTGACAAAAACTGACAGATAATAAATATCCCCATCCGCATTTGTAGGAAAGCAAATAAGTCACTGTACTAGACCGACCATTTGGTGATAGACTTTTTTTTGCCCAAATTATTTAAAATTTCTTCATTAACCCGAATTTTTTGCGCGCCAGTGTATTTATTAGGGCCATAACTTAAAAAAATTCTTCTGGAAAAATCGATCCTTTCATAAAGACAACAATATTTTTTCCGCAATTTTTGTTGTAGATCGATTTTGTTTATGAAAATATGTATGAATGCCTCCAAAGGTCTCCACAATAAGATGTTCAGTTGCGTACTGAAGGCGCCTATGCATTTTTTCGATACCAACCCTTCCGGACGTATCCTAAACAGGTTTTCCAAGGACATGGGTACGGTGGACGAAATGCTGCCCAAATGTTTGCTGGAGACATTACAAATATTTTTCATTATGTGCGGTATATTGGGCATGGTAATCGTCCATTATTTTAAAGACATAATCGGTTTGTTTTCACCGCTCTTTTAAGGTGTTTATCGTGAGTCCCTGGATGATTGCACCGGCGGTGGTTTTGGGAGCGTTATTCTGGTACGCCAGGGTGATTTATTTGGCATCAGGTCAGGATATCAAAAGGCTGGAAGGTACTACAAGAGCTCCGGTTTTCTCCCACGTCTCGGCCTCTTTATATGGATTATCAACAATCCGGGCCTTCAACGCACAAGATATAGTTGTTAACGAATTTGACGTTTTGCAGGTGACACCTAAGTGACCTCAACAAGAAGGTTTGAAAAATGTAGCGTTGTTTATAGGATCAGCACACGGGAACTTGGTTCTTGTTCGGCGCTATCAGTGAATCTCTGGGCTTCTACTTGGACGTCATCAGTACAATATTTTTAGCATTGGTGACTTTTCAGTTTTTAATTTTCGGAGACGAAAACACGCTGAGCGGCAACGTGGGCCTTGTCATATCGCAAACTCTCGTTTTGACTGGTAAATTTCATCACAGTTTTATCACTTTTTTTATTGGTTCCGCCACTTGCTATCTTTCAAAGGGATGTTGCAATATGGCGTCCGACAATCAGCGGAAGTGGCATCAAATATGACAAGTGTTGAAAGAGTACTCCAATATACTAAACTCGACGAAGAAGGTCCTTGGGACCCAATGCCAAGCGATAGACCGCCTATAGGATGGCCGCAACAAGGTTCCCTTCTCTTCCGGCATGCATTTTTGAGGTACGCCTCAGAAGCGCCACCTGCTTTACGAAATTTGAACATTCAGATCGAGTCAGGGCAAAAAGTAAGTATTAACTAAGATGTATGACTGCTGATGCACACACGATAAAGGTTTCGGTTTTGTTTTTTTAATATTTTGATATTTGGCAATGTCAGATTGGTGTGGTTGGTCGAACAGGGGCAGGTAAGTCTTCGTTGGTCGCTGCCTTATTCCGTTTGGCCCCTGTCGACGGTCTTGTCGAATTAGATGGTCAAAATACGGGTCGAGTTGGCTTGAAGAACTTGCGATCGTCGATATCCATCATACCGCAACAGCCTACCCTCTTTTCGGCCACAATGAGGTACAATTTGGATCCCTTTGGTAAACATCCAGACGATGTTTTGTGGGAAGCTCTAGACCGGGTTGAACTAAGATCACACGTTTCTAATTTGGACATGCCTGTTAGTGAGGGTGGCGGAAACTTTAGCGCTGGTCAGAGACAGTTGATATGTTTAGCACGTGCCATTGTCAGGTACGGTACAAATGCTATTAGCAGAGGCCCAAATTAATATTGTCTTGTTTTAGAAATAATAAAGTATTGGTAATGGATGAGGCGACAGCTAATGTTGATCCCAACACTGACTCGCTTATACAGAAGACGATGAGGGACTGTTTCAAAGATTGTACAGTCATAACAATTGCACACAGGTAACCAAATTAACCTTTTTTTATCAGTTTTTATATGTTATTTATGACTTCAAACTAAACACTTGAATTAGTTTATCTTTCCAAGTATGTGTCTATTATATAATGGATTTTAGATTGAACACAATAATGGATTATGACAAGGTCTTAGTAATGGAAGGCGGTCAGGGTGTGGAGTTCGCACCACCTCACATACTCTTGCAGGATGTGAACAGCTATTTTGCGAAAATGGTGGCCCAAACTGGTGCAAATATGGAGGCTAAACTCAAGGCCATCGCGGAAGATACCTTTGAGAAAAACAACAAAGATTACGAGTGTGTTAGCGACATTAAGGAAAATGCGCAAAACAATGTAAGTGATGCATAATCAGCTGGACCTGTTTTGAATAGGCATTTTTGTAATCTCCAAGTTCTATCAACTCATCGAGCTTTAAAATAGTCAAACCAAAGGTGATTTTTAAATTAGCAGTTCATTATTATTGTGAGAATTGTGTTACATGCTGACACAATGAAGTAAAGTGACTTAAGTATTTTTACACATTTTAAATAAGAAACATGAAATTGTGCTTATCGTGTAGCTGGTTCATTGTTTTTGTCTTGAGCTATTTCTGTGGAATGTCCATGACAGTATGTTTGCGTATAAAAAATAGAGTGGTGGTATATTAGTAACTGTTCAATCTTAATCGGAATTAGATAAGAGCATAGAGTTAGACAAGTTAGCGAAACGTGCTTTATATTTTTCTGTTGTATATTGGATATTAATATTTAATATAATTTCTAATAACTCTAGGTTATTGAATAAATTACCTAGGACATCTACAATTAAATTTGATTCAATGACTGCTTTTGTTCTGAGTTTATTTTCTTCTAATTAACCATTTCAATTGGTTACCCAGAATTTTGTCTTCCGAAAATTATCGTTCTCAGCACTTTTCTATCCTACCCACAATTTTGAATCATTGGATACAAAAAAATTGTGATGAACAATAAACTGGACCACATATAAACGAATCAATCACTGTGGTGCGCTTTTAAAGGCAAGAAGTTGTCGTTGCCCAAACTACTGTGCAACAAGTAACAGATCGCTATGCATCCTTCTTTAACTTAACTAGTCCGACTCTAACTATACCACCAACAATCATACTGCGAAAAATTTTTCTGTTAACTTGGTTTTCTTATGAATAACCTGTGTCGTAAATGTTTTATGTAATTTTTAAAAAATTTCATTGATGTGGCTTTGCGAGTAAGTTTCTAATTATCCCAGTGAATTGAGAGTACTTAATTTGAGTATTAATGTATTTTTTTTGCGTAATAAGAGGAACGTTTTATGCAATGATGCTAATTTTTAAGGACAAATACAAGTATTTTTAAACGAAACTAATGTATTATTTATTACGGAAAGGATGAAAAAGTTTTTACAGCAGCTGTAAATGCAAGTTAGTAAAGACTTTTATCAAACAAACTTAAAAACAAGAACCAACTAATAAGACGTAGCGGTTTTGGACAATCATCGTGGCTGCTGACGCTTCATCAAACAAAGCTATATTTCGGTTAAATTTTCTAGGAAAAGCACGTGTGTAGAGATCTCGTTTAGAAATCTAAATTATCTCCATATGATACAAAGCAACTTATCAGTTCTTCAACTTTCTTTACTTACCATGTTGCCTTAATAATTCTTAAATTCTCCCGAGCCCGTGGGATTAAAAATAAAACAATTATATTTTTATAAATTGTATGAGTCGAATATATTAAACAATAAAAATAGAAAAGAAATGTGATAACATAAACGAAGAGAATACATTTTATAGGATACACTTAACTATCTAAGCTAAGTTACTACTTCTGTGATTATGTCCTTTTATTACTTAATTTACTCGATGGAATACAAGCGAATACATAGTTCTATTGAAAGTGGTTAAAAAACGAAATACAAATTTGTGCATAAGAATGAGATTACAATGATGAATATTTAAATAGTTGAACGCTGAAATGACATTTATAAAAATATACTGAAGTATCTCTAATACGAAGCTTTGCAACGACACTCAAAAAGTTCGACACCGACCTACTGACTGTTCAGTCATTCTTATATTTAAAAGTATTCAAAACTGGCCCTTGATTCCCCCCGGGTAACCTCAAAAAGTTCCATATCGTGGCCATCTTTTATTTCAAACCAGCCCGAGATGCCGAACATTAGAAAAAGCGCAGTTGCAACACAATTTACCAAACGTTTTCTATCACCGTTTACAGATTTTTGTACTTCCTATCATATTCTTTACAAACTAAAAAAATATCACAATCTACTTGAATTTTTCTGGTATTCGTATTGCTTTTCCATTTCTCGTGAGAGCTTTCCGCCAATTAAACATCAAGCTCAGCGAAATATCGCGTGACAAAATTACAGTTCAATGTGTGGTTTTTGAAAGGATTGTTTCAGTTAGAGCAGTCTTATACAACGTGTTTTTTTTTTTTTCATAAAAAAATCCCATATTTTCCCTGACCGAGACCCAAATTATCACACATAAATGTTATCACCTTTAAAATCACACTAAAACAGAAAGCAACCACAGCCTTCCGGGACAATTATATAAAACTTCTTTTTAAATTGGAGAGATTATCAACTACCTATCTATCATACGTCACCCTGTGTATCGAAAAGATTAATACTGACAAAAAGCATATTGTAATACACGCGCAGATCAAAGTATGGCGATTGTTTTTGTTTCGTTTTGGGTTTTCAATTTCTTGCCAGATGGAACAGTAACGTGTTGATATTAAGTTACAGGGTAAGACAAAAACAACGCCCGTCTAACCTAACTCTTACCTTAAAATTACAATTTTTTTACTTTTCTGATGCTCCCAGTATTACTTAATGCTACAATCTTAAACTTACGTTCCTAAAATGAATCTAACGAACCGTACGACTATCAAAACATATCCCTGAAAACTGAAGGATTTCAACTATTCGCATTCGTAGTCGTTAAATGCGAATCCATGCGAAAGTCAAATCTCGTATTTTTATCCAAAAGGGAAATCGTCAAAACGGCTTCAGCACAAAAAGGAAAATATGAGCGGCTTTTTGCAGCCACAACTTTGTTTTATCCGGTTTATCGGGTTGAGATAGTAAAAAAAAAGGATATTGCTGAGCTTGTCACCCGCACAAAACTACTATACGGGTAAAAAAGACGGTGTCAGTATTTAAGGGTAAATATATTCGACGGAAAAATAATTCGTTACACTAATTGACTTTAAAGACTTTATAAACACACGAAAAAACAAGGAAATTATAAACGATGTGGTGTCTAAATATTTACGAGATATTACCCAAAGGAAATCGTACAGAAAGTTTCGTCTTTGGGTTCTGATTTAAATCCGACGAGAGTTGCCTGTTTTGACAAAATGGCCAGTGTTTGATAAACTCTTGCATAAAAAACAGGCGACATCAAAATCCTCAAAAAAAAAAAACTACAATCACATCCTACGGACCAGATTATCGTCAAGAATCCTTAGAAAACAACCACTAGATATATGTCTAAGATTACACAATATTGAGATCTACTTAGAAAAATCAATGAAGAAAAAAAAAAGGAAAATATTACTTTTTGGTGCAACGCACAGCAAGTCAGTGACCAAATTAGCCGTAAAGTAGTAGCGGAGAGCAGATCATGTCGGATTGGAATCTGGCTCTTTGTGGGGCGAGCATATTCTGCATTTCTCGGGTTTACCGGGAACTTGCCACCCAAGGACGACGCCACAGATCGGACAATTATTGGGATTTAGTGGTTCCGCGATATCTGCAGCCTTCTGAGCGGAAAAGTCGAGATTTTGTTGTTCCGATACGCAGGACTCCTCTTGGGCGGAACTGCTGCAGGGACTCTGAGTCTTATCGTCGCGTTTTTTCCTACTGCGTTCTATTGGAAACCGCAGCCTGAAACGGAAAACGTATTTTGTTAAATTATGTCAAAATTGAAACCAAAAGAACCGTTTTTAATATTTAATTAGTCGTTGAAACTATTTAGCTATTAAATAATACAGGGGCTTTAAATAACGATAGTACTGCTGACAGGTCAGCGGAATATTGATTTTCGCATTACTTCATAGCTACTGCCTATGCCGATAATACAGGAACTCATGAAACGACTATGAAAAAATATTAGAGAAGGTCCATTCAATATGTGCATGTGCAAGATTTAAACTATAGTTTTTAACCAATGGCATTGCGGCATTCAATAGTATTTTCTCAAAATATGCATTGATCTCGTTAAATGTTCTGGGAAAACGGGAGCAAAGTTCAGGTTAGTGTCAACAAAGCGCACGGCTGCGCAAACAAACCCTCTGGAGTATCTGTTGTTAAAAACCAGATAAAAATCACTTACACAGAATATAAAGTGCCTTGATTTAACCGATAAAACTCGATCAACTCGTGGACCTCAAAAAATTTGGTCATCCCGTCCAACGTGGCAACGACGCATTTTTGGCCGTCCTGCATACTGATTTCCAACGGTTTGACGTAATGATGGTGAGCCCGACCCCTGTGAGTGTACGTTAACACAAGGCTATTGGAATTCGAATGGCTATTTCGAAGCAAAAACGCTCTGAAAAAAAAAATAAGTTGAAGTGGGACGGTTGCAGTGTTTTATGCGATTCTGTCTCGTAGTACCGCAACTAAAGGGAATGTTGGTGTTAAATAATTCGCCACTCCTTAATTAATTAATGGCGATGCCGTTTAATCACAGATGCCAAGTGGCGTTCCATCGACTTAAAGGTACTTCGTCTGGCATTACTTAGTGGCAAAAAAAATGAGTCAATTAAAAATTATTGTCAGCACTTGACAACGATGGTGATGGAACATACATCTAATGTATAACCAATTATTAAAGAATTGAGGTTATAATTCCAGCTTAGTTCAAGCTTAAAATTGAATAAACACGACAATCGTTTGTTTTACAAAAAAAACGACTACAAATAAAATTTATGGTACATTAATGTGCGCTTTTTTGTTTTCGATGCAAATTTTTGACCACAGTATTGATGAAAATTAGAAAAAAACAATTTTATTCGACTATTTTGGGAACCAAAGATTTTTTTTTTTGAGCAAAGGTAGATGAAAGAGAAAGACGTTGTACGGATAACACATTAAATTGAAATAAAAAGAAGCTCTCGTAACACGCTTGAGTGCGTGCAACAATGTCCCGATGTTATCGACCAATGAAATAATTATTAAACAAACCGACATTGATTCTATCGCTCTTCCTCTATTACGCAATCCCCGATGGTAAAGTGTGATATGAAGGACGAGGGAATGGAGGGGGTTGAACCGGTCATGATATTCGGGTTGTGGTACTGACCATAAATAAATCGCGACGGTGCCAAGCGTGTTTATGTTATCTCCATTTTCATGTTCAGCATCTTTGATTAGGTTTTACTCAAAAGCAGGCATTTCGTTTAACACCTAATCTATCAGAAAGCTTTTGTATTTTTATTATATTATACCTAAATAAAATAAAAATAAAATGGCTAAATTTAAATCTGGCTTTATTATTTTAATTTTAAGGATTATGAAATATAACTTTTATTTTTTAACCTTTAATGTCACCTGAAATTGTGTTCCACTACGCTGCTCACAATCTTTTTTATCAGACAAAAGAAGAGATTTGGTTTTGGTCAATTTTGTGGTGAAATGTTAAGTAGGAAAGTGTAAACCAAACAACCAAACCAATTTTGTCGGTACAAAAAAATTTTTGAATTGAGTCAATTTACAGATGAGCATATCCGAAGCAATTATGGAACTAATAGACCGTGTATACCACAATGTCACGGAAATTGGTTACGGACGATTCGCCACACCGCATGGAATTAGAAATAATAAAATTACAATATACAGGGTGTTCAATTTAGAAAATACTCATTCAAGGATTTTTGAACTGACGAAAACGCGGAATGTAATAGTCTTCTAACGGTAGAGAATAACGAATCCATGAAAATAGCTACCGCAAAATAATTAAAAATTTCGCTATAAAAAGCTAGAACGAAAAATGCGATTCGTTCTGGCAATTACCGGCTTGTAAATGAATATAAATGTAGTACAGTCAAATGACCGTTTTTCTCCGTATAGGCCGTCCAAAATTTCTACTACAGTTGTTTGGAAAACGGATGATAATATAGAGTACATTTTTTCAAAAGAATAAAGACCTAGCTTTATGGAAGAGAGTTCTCACCTTGATCTATCTACGAGAAGACATTTTTATGAAAAATGTGAGTTTACTAGAGTCAGGTCTCAAATGGAAAAAAATGACAAAGAGTGATAAATAATAATAATAATAATACATACCAATACTAACGCTGTTCTGAGACTCGTTGATTTTATTTCCAACCCGGCTAACAATGCCAAAACAACAGTAGATTCGCAGGTACGGTTATTACAACAGGGTAAAACTTTAGTTACGTTATTCAGTAGAAAGCTTTATGTGGTGCCCTATGTTATTGAGCTCCGGTGTTTTACTAAATAATGAGATGTTATTGCACCCGCCTTTAAAAGATAAGACTATAGCTTCAAAGTTATAACACGGGCGGTGGCATGATACTTCTGTATGCAGTATACGAGGTGTATTCAAAAAGTAAGGTGACTTGCAATTCGGCGGGCTCAAAAAGGTCATAATTGGTGACGAATCATGGCTAAATGGTTATGGCACAAGTGTATTATATCTAGGGGGGGGGGGGGGATTATTTTGAAGGGCACAACATTAATTTTGATGAATAAATAAATACTTAAAAGTCACCTTAATTTTTGAATACACCTCGTAAAGTAAGTATGAATACGAAAAGAAAACCGCCAAAACTACATAAAATTAAGCAAAAAAAAAATCAACCAATTCGATTTCCTATAATGTGTAGCAGATAAAACGAGCTGTGACATTGCTGAAACTAATCTAAATATGAATAAAATGAATAAAAAAAGTTTGAAAGTCCGTCAAATACGGCAGACCGCAAAGAATAAATGCAGGAAGCGACAACGTTGCACAGAAGCGCGAAGTGCGACGGCGACGTGCGGCAGGTCAGGTTTTTGTTTCTCCAGCTGGGCAGGTAAACGAGTGGCTGTTGTGTGCTGACGGTCACGTATGGTCACGTCTCTCATTATACGTGACCTTAATGAGATACGAGATCAAGGTCAAATGAGGGTGTTGATAGATGATGTCGCGGATAAAACAATACCTCGAGCAATCCCTCGCAATTAATTGTATGTTCACGAATACTTTACAAGATGTACCCCATTGGCGTGCGCAATAAAAGAGAAGCGAACAGAAACAAATACATTTTCAAATTTACGTAGGAATTCTTCGGGTTGAAGAAAGTCCTATTTAAGATTTAAAAATTTCGTAATACCTTTGTAATACCCATTAAATTTTTTCCTGACCTACCTGAACTACATTCCAACATCCTGATCGATTCCATACACACACCACATTCTGTCACACAATTTCTCTAAACCAAAACGTTCCCGAGCGTTTCATTCAAAATTTCATTTAAAATAATCAACTATTTCTCTTCGTCTCTATCAACAACGGCTAGGCTATCCACAAAATCGCAATCAAAACTAATGCTCTGCTATAGCGAGTGTCCGTTTTAAATGATACCACTATTACTATATTCCAAACGATAAATTTCAGGCGAATTAGAATAAGGTTGCCTTTTATAAAGTCCATTTAACATTCGCTAACAGTGTTGCCAAATTCTTTTTAGATCATGAAATACGAGGTGCAGTAGGAACAAAAAACTATAATAACTATTTTCTTGTCCCATTTGTTATTGTAGCTTGAAACCAAAAGAAAATTTCACGACTTATTGCAAAGCGGAAAAAATTATATAACTTATAAACTAAGAGGTGTGCCCTTACCGACATTGATACGTGGTTTACTATCGACGAGCTTATATTTAACGAAAAACATACCGTAAAGAAATACTAATTGCATTAGGAAAACTCTGATTTCTCGTACACCATACATACATAATGTAAAATATTGTACTTTTAGTAAGTAAAGTAAAGTAATAAAAAAATACAATATAAAGGATCACTTGTTCCATTAGCGAGAAAAAAAACTCACCCATCTTTACCAGCCATGGTCACTAAATGCGCGGCTTCGTCTCTGCCCAGATTTGCGTGGTAATACAGCTTTGTGGTGTAATGGCCGTCGTTGGCTATTGTTATTCCCGAGGGATGATCGCGACGATATACCATTCTTCGGCTCCTGTTCTGATCCATGCCTTCCATCTCTTGGGGGTCCTGTATTATACGCCCCGGACCTCCATGACTAAAATCCATCGGTACGCGATTGCCCGATACCTCCTGTAACAATAGACAATAATATAATAGCGTGTAGAGTAGAAAAATTATTTTAGTTACGATTTAAAGGACGCCACGTCAAAGAATACCAATTACAATTCCTAGAAAATTTGTGCCAATTTGTCAATTAAATATATTCAAACGTTTTTGACATCTTGAATTTTGGATGTGCGTATATTTGATTTTAACACGATTTAAGTCCTAACAAATTAAAAATTATATATGTTCGCTTAAAGTTGTTAAGGTCTGGTTAGAACGAACTACAAGCTTCATTTTTAGATTGTCCAGGCCTCTTTTTAGACAATAATTAAAAATTAGAAATACGAAATTCTGGAATGGGCCGTGTAGGGGTATATCAGGAACAACGCTAATAGAGTTTTAAGTACTTTTTAGTTATCACTAATTTCTACATAATCAGATCTTATTTATATTAAAGGAATTAAGCGACTCTGGAACCGGCCACCCGGTCACCCGATTTGACGCCCTTGGATTTTCGCCTCTTTAGGCGTATAAAAGGAATTATTGAATTATATTCACGATACACATACCAATCTAAATCCAGACACACTTCGAAAGTCTTTGTTTCGCCGAAGAGAACGAGACAGACTTAGGCAGGGTTGAAACATTATAATATGAAAATCGAAATATGTTTCGCCTCTATACCAAACCAATATTCAAATAGAAAATATGCAATAACAAGAAACCGCTGAAAGCAGGTAGGTTGCATTCAAAATGTGGAACTGAATTTAAGTTTAACTCGAGACCGAACCAGCTAAGCATAACGACCTTTTATTTGCTTTTTCCAATAATGAATGAAAATGAGCCGAATCCCCCAGAAACTTGCGCCAATTTTGCATTTTTAGCTGTAAAACCCTAAAATCTTATTAAAAGTCCGAAAGTTTTTTGACGATAATTAGTTAATTACAGCGCAATGCTATTTTACGTTGAAACATTTTCAAATGGTGTTGCCTCGAGGGTGTGGCATTTAAACTCGGCTTTAAAAGTCGCGGCGTACGATGAAACCTTCAAAACGGAGAGCAAAAATCGTTACAAATATCGAATACCAGAATTCGAGGAGCAGTTAATTAAATACTAAAATAATGTTTTTTTTCTCAAGTTTAAACATTATTATCTGGAACCTTATTATCGAGCGTATTATATATACACACAAATATAATAGCAGTTATAGCAGAACGACCTACGATATTATGCAACCAGTTTGATAAACGCCACTTTAGTCGCGGATCTGATTTTATACGATCGAGAGCGGAACGAGTATGGAGTATGCAATCCCAATTTAGCCACGAGTTTTATTTGGCACGAACAGGGAGAGAGGTTAATAAATTCCTGTTGCATACTTGACTTTTTCTATGAGCATTTTTTTTGTGTACATTTTTGCTAAACAGCACGACTAAATTCACTAAAATAGGCCAAAATGTGTTGAAGTTTTTACTGCTTAGAATAAAAGGATTGAACATAGAAAAAAAAAATCTTAATACAGTTTATTAAAATAAAATTTGCGAAAAAGTAACAGCAATACTTAAATAGCAAAATGTCTAAAAAATACAGATACATTCATATTTACATATTACATATTTCCTCATCACAACACTGTGCCGACTCTGCCGAATATTTTATCGGTTTGTGTTCGGCCTTGTGAGAAATAATATGCACCAATGTCTGTATTATCGGTATGTGTCAACCTCGGTGTCAACAACACGGTACATGCTAACCGCCCTCAGTAAAAAGGTCTTCCGATACCTTAAAACGATAACCGTTATCAATCTTTTAGCGATTCCAACGCATGGCTAAACCCAAAAGCAGTTTTCGAGAGCCAGCAATTTTATATTAGTGAGTCATCCGCCGATATACGCGTGTTCGGTGTCGTATATCGATGATGCAATAAAATGTCAACTTTTTGAAATATTGATAAGATAAGAACGTCAATTGGGACATCATTCCCTCGGCCGCTGCTTTTTTTAATTTCCACTAGCACAATTAAATTACTGTGTCATCCACGACGTTGTTGGTTCGAGTAGTTTTTTTTTTTTGAGATTTTTTCATTGGAGCGCGAAGTAATACGAGTAAAATACCAAGTTTAATAAAAACTCTTAAAAATCTTATACAATTCCACGTTATTTGGTATGAAATTCGAGAAATAATTATTAATAAAAAGGATATTTTGTATCTTCTTCCGTAGCAAACATTGCAAAATCTCAAACTTGGTCAAAATATTTTAATACGTGGTGGCGCGATACCGTTTTCATTTTTTCAATTATACAGGGTTTTCAGAACATCCCGACAATACCAAGCAATAGCGTATTTTTAAGCACACACCGTGTCAAATCAATTAAATTAATTGAAAAGGTTAATGTATTACTTTCATTTTACATTCAGGGCTCCCTAGTTTGAAAGTTTGAAAAAAAAAATTCAAACGAGTATTTATTTATGTATGTAATGTAATTTTATTGTGCATGCACCCTGTATTTCACATCTCGCCAAACTTTGGTGCAAAATTTTTTACAAATATTAGCCATTCCTAATTATATTTTTTCAAATATCTGGCGCAGCCTGAATGACGAAACTTGAAACTCTCTCTCGACATTGTTTAAACCAAATCATCCTATGTTTTATTGTTTTTCAGGTTCTCTTTGTTTTTTCTTTTACAAATAATCGACACACCCAGTAGATAATACAAAAAATTCCACAAGTAAAAGTTATAGCCCTAGATCTCGCACGTTTCTCGGTATAAGAATTTTTTCAATAGGATAAATAGTTTTCGAGAAAATATCTTTTTTCTGAAATCAGACAGTACACCGTAATACTAAATGACGTCATCGCGTCTAGACTGAAAGCGAGATATGGCGATTTTCAAATGGATTTTTTCAAATATCTCGAGCAGCGTACGCGACAGATGAAAATCGTAAATACAAAAATTGTAGCCCTTAATACGGCATATAACACTGTTTGAACGGATTAGCTATTTCTTCTACGAATTTTGAGTTACGGTTAAAAATTTACTCTCTAAAAAAACAATTTTTAGGTTCTTTTAGATTCTTGCCCATAACTAAAACACCTTGTATATAATCGTGAAACAAAAGTTATAGCGCCGGATCTCCCACGTATTACGGTTGTAAAATTTTTCAGAGGAGAAGAAGGAAACCAACATAACCAAAAAAAATTCAAAAATTAACTGATATCTAAAACACAGATTTTAAATTATTGTCAGTAATATAAAAGACTGAATAATGAACTTACCTGATCCATATCGGCTGTAATGCGTCGGAGATTATTTTTGCCGACCTGCTTTCGTTTCATTTTCTTTCGAAAGTCGTATTTCACTTTTTGAATGATATATTTAAAGCACCCCATCTTTAATGGAGTTAAAAAGCAGTTTCAAATTAAACGTTTTTAACAGCGGAAATGCACACGCGATACTTAAAATAGCGACACTTATTTTTCTAGCTCTGGAGTAATCCGGAAAACAACTGATTAATTGTTGACAGTTGCCTCAACCGATGTGTTATAAATTTAATATAGATGCATTCAAGACATGCTTGGTTTCGGCATATTTTCGCTTGATACTTCACTGAAAAATCGATATTTCATGATAGAATGTTATTGAAAGTACCTTTCAATGTCGAATGTGCAATAATCTTGGTGCAATATTTCTCGGGGTCGGGAGGTTATTGACGTCAAATATTCTCAAATCGATGAATTAAGATTTGAACAAAAGCAAAATGCTAATGCCGGTAAAAATAGATACAATAAATGTGAGTCATGTTGCTGAAAAACTGTAGATGAAAAACATCCAACAAGAAGTTTTTGCATAAAAAATGTGAATTTTAGCATACATCTATTAACTGAAAAAGGTAAATAGGAATTTTTCAATACGAAATTACACAAAATTCATACAATTCAGTGATTTATAACTTTTAACCGTATGAAAAACAATTGCATTTTGAAACTTCTAACCAATTAAAGCATTATTTCTGCTTAGTCATTTTGACGAAACCTAAATATAAGTATTGTTTTACCAAAGCACGTACATGCGTCTAAAATCGTGAGGCAACAATCAACAATTCCAGAAGTTTAACCGAAAAAATAACAAACCAAATAGTACACTATTTCCGTCAAACTGTAGGCCGCTTGGCCAGTCGATTAAACTAAACAAACTAGAAAAACGTTCGATCTTCAAAATAACGCAACGCGTGTAAACGTATCCACACCAACGAACACAAATAAACGCGATCTTCCCTACTTCGCACGCGACGTTTCACTGCGAGACACCAATCAAATCTACAATGAAGCCGGCACGGTAGGACCGACCGGTTTTTGTATAACGCGATGTTGCCGAGTGGACGCGCTTCGCAGAGTTTTTCTTTAACAAGCGCCTAGATAGACCGCATCGACAATTTGAAAAAGAAATTGCGGGAAATTTTGTTTTACGTCAAAAACGATTTTAAAATAGCTTACCTATTTGAAACTCGATATTACTAGTAGCTGTCCAGAATTTGCGAAAAACGGATTGAGTGATGAAAGGTCGCGAGATACCATTATACTGTGCATGTAGTGCAACAACTCAAGATTGAAATTTGAACAAATTGAGTTACGAATTATGATGTAGTTCGGTGGGCTACTTAAAAAACGTTGGGTATTTATTGAACAGAATGAATTGATACATCACTGTTTCGTTTTTTGTTTGTGTTATGTTTAGTTTATGTGATATTTAGGAAAATTCTAGCCAAACAAACAAAACTAACCAAATCTAACAAAATAAAAGGAAGAAAATTAAGTGCAGAGTGAAACCTGTTGCAAATATTAAATTGCCTCCGTGCCATAGTTAAATAAAGTGTTTAAATATAAAACAAAAAATAAACTTACATGTTTTAAATTTTTAACAGCATCCAGTATTGGAGCATTTGGACGATAATAGAAAAGACACATTTTCTTTAAAATCTCTTTAAAATACATATACAATAAATGCTAAGTAATTTACTTTAACCTATAAATAAAATATCATTTTGTTGAATCGTTGCAAGTTTAAAAAAAAATGAATACAAGTATTTCTAAAACTAATATAATGTAACAAGATTTGGGGACACATTTTCCACTTTTCATTGACTGGCCAATCGATCGAAATATTTTTTAGAATACCATGAATTTTATATATTTTTATTTATATTATTGGGATTCTCCGAATCGCTAAATATCGTATCACAGGCGCATAATAATTAATTCGAAAATACATATTATTATTAAATAATGGTAGATTACAATCTACAATTGCAAGATGTTATTTAAAACATTTTTTGGCTAATCCATTAACAAGTAGTCAATTGACCGGCGAATTAGGCAGTAGTCAATTGGCAAATCTAAACACTACTTTTTTTCCTATAAAAATTAAACTATTCTTCGAAAATTTTAATTAAACATTTTGACGAAATAATGGCAAAAAGTTGGGTTCAAATATTGATAGGGAAAAAAGTCATATTTCAGTGTGCCCCCAAAATGTTTAATATTATTAATGGGTATCCCCGTGTTTAACGTGTATAATATACGAGAACTTTTTGTTTAAGAAAAAATTTTTGAAATTAACAATAGTCAAACTAACCAATAACATTAACAACTTCTAAGAGTAAATGGTAGGTGGTTTAATCCAAACCGAGGGAATTGCAGCTTTGCCGGTGTTGCAATGTTTTGCGAGATTCCAGTTTTATTTCGTTAAATCTGCGCAAAGGATTATAAGGCTTTGTTGAATTTTCATTTGTTTTTGTGAGATCCAGCTTTTGCTTTGTTAAAGTTGCAGAAATTGTATCTGACTCATGTAATTTTTAAATATTTCTCTCAGCAAGCGCAGTTGTAAAATGGTAGTCCATTACGTTTTACGTTACATTAATTTTCGTTAACAATGTTATGCCATTTGGATTACCTACGATAAAATAAAACAGAGAAATTTATTTTCTTACTAATTATAAGTTACCGTAAATTTTTTCTGTTATACGTTCAACGAAACGGAAACGGATGACAATTCTTTCAATTAAGCGTTGTGACAACTTCCTTGCAATTACTGGTAAATATGGGTTCTTTTCAGAGGACTTGTGCTGCATTAAATATCAGCATATCGAAAGTAAGTCTCTTGGGAAATCATACAGATGAGGGCAAACCTCAGGCACTTCCAAAGAAAAAACGTCAGAGAAGAATGACAGTCAGAATGACATCGAAAGAAATTTATTTGAAATAATTGCATACTGACATTTATGGCAACGCCGTAAATTATTTGTACTTTTTACCGCGTTACAGAGAGTGTTTTTATAACAATGCCACGGATAGTTTCAACTGGAAAGATTCATTCTTACATATTAATATGCCCTTCGTAAGCTTCTAATTTAAAGAAAAGCGAAGAGTGTGATGGATAGACGGATCGTATGCAATAATAATAATTTAACAATTAAAGAATTAAATGATGGATGACGAATGATGAATATGAAAAATTACCAGAGACATTTTGCTTGCTGTTGAACTCTGCATATATTCACACCGAATAAATTTCTAGGATCCACTGTTATAGTTTACCCGTACAATTTCATAAAATCTAGCTAGGTGATTACATATCATGTCAGCGGCCAATGATGTAATCAGTTTTCGGGAATTCCTGTTTGGCAGTGTGTCAATTTGGCAACGCCGGTTACTGGAATCTATAATTATAGATAAAAAACTTTCAAGTGTAAACCCAGGCTGGAAGATTTTACGTAGTCGCTAAACTAAACAGATTGGAAATTAATGGCCTGCCTTAACGTAACTGCATCCAAATGTAAATTTCACTTGCATGACGACCCAAATAAAAACTTAAAACACATCTTTGCTACTGGATTATAATATGAATATTAAAGCAACCTACTGATTGGATCTACGGTCTCATAATTGAGTAGATTATAAATATATTAGGTAGGTAAAAAATGTTGACAAGTGGAATAGATAAATGATCACGCACGAGCCACTTCACTACAATATGTCAGACTGTTTTGAAAATACTAACTACTTTTTTAATGTTTTCGTCACAGACACCTACCTGGACAAATAATTTAATAACGATAAAGTGTAAAATATCTAGAATCAAAATCAGCAAATATTTCAAATTTTTGGGATCATCCATCATTTTAGTGCCAAAGTCATCCTCTAAAAGTCTACTTTTTAAGATTCCGAGTGCTACTTTTTATTAGATGACCTGATTCACAGGATATTGAAGCTAGATTTACTTTATCTGATTCTAGAGATCATAGTAAGTCTGTGTCAAATGAATCATTTGTCATTTGTTTTTTCTTACGCAATGTCCAAAAAAATTTGCAAGAATCATTTTGCAACGAGATTTCAGGCCAAACGTGATTTATTTCACTTTACGACCACTAAATTATCGTTCTAGATAGCCTTTTAACCCCTAGCAGTCTCAACGTTTGCAACAGCGCAAGATTGCCAGATTTCGATAATGCAAAGAGAAGAAAAATTTGTATGTTTTATGCCTTTGGTAAAGTGGCAATATGAACTCAGGCATTAGCTAAATTGGCATTGGAAAAAATGTGGCTTTATTTTCTATATTATTATCTCAATTACCTCAAATAATCTCGAAAACACTAATTAATAGTATATTATGCAACAAGTTTGATAAACGCCATTTTTTGGCACGAGTAGCGAGCTGCGGAGCGAGTGTTGATAACAAACGAGCTTTTTAAGAACATATGGCAATACTTTTTCTATATGTAAGTATAAGTTTTTGGCTATAAACATTTTTGAAAAATAGCACCAATACATTCACTAAGCGAAATGTGCCGTGACCGGACTGACTTAAAAATCTTAAATCAGACCTATTTTTCTAGTATAAAATTCAACAGTTAAACATAATTTTTGTCAATTAACGAATTAAATACTATTTTTACTAAAAATTATTACGCCATGAATTTATGATAGGATGCAACGACGTAATATATAAAAATTAATAAATTTATCAAAAACTATTTTTTATTCATGCAAAGGAATAATGTCTTTTATTAAATCAATTTATTTATTGTTTATAAGGAAATACAAGTATTCCTCTAACAAGGGTAATCCGTATTTAACGCTACGGTTAATTCTAACAAAAAACCTGAAACGCCTACTAAAAAAATTAGATAAAATAAAGAAAAAAATAAAGTAAAACAAGATGTTAATAATAATTTATGGAAAAAGGTATAATCTGATTTATGAAATATTTTCCTGAAAACCGTTAAGAAGGCAAAAAAAGATTAATAAAAACGACCTAGTTAGAATGGACATTAATAAACTAACACTAACTAACCAAAGCAATAACATCTCTTATTTTTCTATAACAAATTCGCGCAAAAATCTAAATGATATTTTTGAGTTTAATTCCGCCACAACATTTAAGAATCATAAAAAAAAAACAAAAATTCAGATTACTGAATAGAGAATGTCTGCAGGACAAGGTTTTTTGGTCGCTAATTTTGGATGCTATGGATGCGTATTTTGTTTACAATATTTCTTACTCGTTTTCTATTGAAGTATCGAAAGGGGATATCATCCAAACATGCAGACCGCAAATTTATCCGGCTCTCGATCCCAGACAGGTATTATTTCCTAATCCCGGATAGAAAGACAGACAGATCTGCAAATCACCCGCTACCGTAAATCTTCACTAATTAATACGACGGACCGATTCCGAACTTGGAAATTCCTGGATCCCGCCGAACAAACAACTCGCTCGTCCAGGACCGGGAGAAATTTGTCGTTCAGATTTCGACCAACATTTTATCCCATTTCCATGCATTTTGTTCATTTCGATAGAGGCACATGAGTGAAACGAATACAATAGAAAAACAGTTGTTTAATATCTCCATGTCACACGAGGTTTTCCGGACTGTCAGAACTGTCTACTGTCGTAGTATGTCGATAAGTAAAACTGGTCACTATCAGATAATAAAGAAACTGCAAGAGAGCACAGCAGTGGATAAAAAACGTAGTTAAAACTCTCTCTTGGTTTTTGTTATAAGCTTGTTGAAGTGTCATTTTCTATAATTATTGTTCGGCAATGAATTCATTACAATAAAAACACCGTTGCTGGAACACTTGTAAAAACATAATTAAAAAAGGTTTTCCAGACTGTCAGAACTGTCTACTGTCGTTGTATGTCGATATATAAGCATTCAAATCAGAATGTACATAAAAAAAGATCTGAAAACCTGCATCCGATCAATTTTGTTGGGAGATCATGAGAAAATAGCGGTAACAATCAACAGTGCAAACAGCAGTGGATAAAAACGTCGTTATAAGTGTCATTTTCTATAATTATTGTTCAGCAATGAATTACAATAAAAATTGGTGACTAACATTTTTTTTTGTTTTTTTGTTTTTGTTATACGCTCGTTATAGTGTAATCTTCTTTGATTATTGTTTAGCAATGAATTTATTACAATGAAAATACCGTTGCTGGAACAGTCATAAAAGTTTAATTAAAATTTTCAATTTTGAGAAAAATGCGACGAATACGAACCTGATCCGTTGCCTACCGGATTAATAGAGAAATGCGTCTGTCTCTTCCAAGTGATTTATCCTTCCTATTATACCAGAATTTATTTGTCACTTAGTTAATTAATATGTAAAGCCGTTAAGTAATTAAGTATGCGTTCGATCGTCTAGTTTCGTTTTTGAGATTTTAATTTTGCGGACCTGGTATTCAAATAGAGAAAAAATGTGCATGTCGAAAGTTGGAATGGTGAGAATAACAATTTTATTCCTAGTTTTGCTTTTCCTTAAAAAGAAAGTAAATAAATAAAATTGCTGACAAACAATTAATTAATTAACTAATTTTAATTTTAAATAAAAAAAGTGTTCTTTTAGCGCTAATCTTAAATCTTTAAATTTCCTTACAATATGTAATATGGGTATGTCGAATAAATAGGGAGAGTGTTTTATGATAATAATTTTTATTACCTTTGTGATGTTATTTGCATCATTTCAAAATTAACACGGAAAGATCAATACAAAAACAAACTTTGAAAACTGATTTTGCTTTACCGGCATTGTTGTAACGAGGTATAGAGAATAATAATATAGAACGACAGCACCTCTTGAATGACAGCTGTTGACGATAAGCATACGGGCTGTTCACATGTGAAAAAAACTGAGCTTGAACTAACTAACAATGGGAAAAATGACAGTGTCCTTATCATTTTCATAGTCGTTATCGTCACCCCGGAAGTAGGATCGAAGAATGCGACAGATTGCGCTAAAAAAGGTATTTTTTTTAACAATTTGGTATGTTCGGAACAAAAATTCCATAGCGAATGAATTCAACTTCGTTCAAAAATAGACTAAATAAAAGTGCGTGATCGGAGACGATCGACGCTGATTGGCTAGATTTCGGGGCTCGTTTAAGGCGTTCAGCGTCCGATTTAAACGATAACCACCGTGCATTTTTCTAGGCGTTACAGTGTTGTCAAGTAACACACGTAGTTTTTTGAATTTTATGTGAAGTATTAAAGGTATTTTTATCAATAATCGGAATCACATTGTTGGAAAAGTACACTTCCAATGAGGTGCGAGTTTTTCCGAAAAAGAGAAGCATTCATTTTTAAATATTACCCATTATCTACCAATATAAAATGTATAATGTAAATGTATTAAAGTATTGAGCAAGGTAGTATTCATTTTGTATTGAATTTCATTTTGTTTATTCTTAATATATTATACACATAACAACATAAATAAATAGTTTAAATTAAACAATTTTTCTACCTATTAAAAGTTTTTTCCTTAAATTTTGAATTTATCAAAGTACTTCCGCGGGTGTATAAAATAAAAAGTAGTACGTGAAGAAAGAAGAAAAAAATTAAAATGCCTATCTTGTGGAGTACATTTGTATATTGATATTAAATTTAAGAGTACGATTTCATAGTTTCCACAATTTTTCCTCACCCAGTATAAAATTCATAATAAAAAATTGCAAAAATTCTTAGGGACTGCACGGACTAAATTTCCAAATAAAAATGTTAAAAACGCGACAAACATGCGCAGCACGTACGTTTGAATATTAGTTTAAATAGTGGATTATTAGCATATATTAAGATAAAAAGTTAAAAATGCAATAAATTATAAGTAGAATGCTTAAAGTTAACTTAAATTACTTAGAAAATCGGTCCGAGTATATTAAAGTGATTTTGCAACCATTTCACTTTTTGTTGCGGAATGCATCTTTTTCAATAAGGTAACAATCCACCTTGCACACATAGGCAGATGTTCACGGGCATCTCCGTGTTTATTTTTTCTAAGAATAGATAGTTAAATGCATCACGCGTACACATGTGTTTGACATGTTATATGTGCCAATTATCGTATAAACTAATGGGTAAATATTTGTCTATTTGCTTTAATAATTTTTAATCTAACAACTTTTGGTGTGTGAACAACGTTGCAGTATTGAACATTTATTTGCTCTTTGAATTACTGCAACGTACCAAATTTTCCGACGCTTGTCGCGCGTTTTTCAAATTTGTCTTTCTGTCTTTAAATTAATAGAATTGAATTTGAGAACATATGCTACTTATAAAATAAGCAAAAATAATAAAAAATATGTTCCATGATAAATTGATTTAGATTTTAGTTGATAGACAGATAGAAAACCTTACTTTTCGAACGCTTATTGAAATCTACATATAAAATGGTGATTAATATAATTTTTCTAGAACCGCATTTTTGAGTATTTTAAAGAATATATTCATATGTGATACATATTTAGACCCTACGAATATTGAATGATGCTAAAACAGCTTAAAACAAATTCTAATTCAAGTACATTTTAAACTCTTTTTTTTTTTCGCTCTTTTGGATACTATTGCTTCTTAACTTTGGTTTACTTTCTTTCTCAAATCCTTTTTATCAGGCAAAATTTAATAAAATAAAAGAAAGTAATTAATATTTCTTCCAATGGTTAATGATAATTTCTGAAAATTAGAGAACAAATTTTAATTTCTTTTGGGGGACTATGAATACAAATTAAATTAATTAAAGCGCATTTTTAAATATAATTGAAGAATTTTAATCACTGTATTACTTAAGCTAGCTGACTTGTCCACCCAAGGTTTTCTATTAAAAACTGTGACGTCCAAAAAAAACTATTTATTTGAAAGTTATAATGATCTAACCAATAATACACAAAAATTAAACCTATTCAAAGGATTAGATTTAACTTTACCTAAACTAACTTTTAGGTATACATCATTTATAATTATCAATGTTGGTTGCTGCATTTTAAACGAAATTTGATAATATTTATTATAAAAATAACAATAATAAATATATAAATAATTTGTCTGCTTTTTTGTAATAGAAGTAGGGAGATTGATAATTAAAAATATTTTAATTCTAGAATACCGAGCTGAAATCACATAGGTTTTCTGATATTTTAGTGCTATTAAAATTGTCCTTTCATTTAGATTGTAACGAAGCACAAATTGTTTTTTAAAAGCTAAACGTTTCTATTCATCAGAAGAAGCTGCACTACAACATATTATGATTTTTGTTTATTGGTTAATTTTAGTTGCAATCTTAAGGCGCAAAAATTTTAACACAATTAGTGCAGATATAGCCAGTGACATCAAGATAATTGAAAAATTTTATATATACCTTTAAATATCTCAAAAAATAATAAAAGTATTCGAGATCACAAAATTATAGTAAAACGTCAATTATGCTAGTGGAGTAGAATTTGAAAAACTAACCAGCCACTTAGGTAGTAACCAGAAAAGTTTATATAAGTACTAGGGTCTCGACTACCTAAACTTCCAGCCAAGTACGGCAACGACACATACGCCAAATAGTCTAAAAATAGTGGACAAAAATAATGTGTGCAAATGTTTTTTCTACTCCCGTCTGTAAAATACCTAATTACCCACCGATCAAGCCTGCGGGAAGCATTACTTTACCGCGTCACTTCGGACATTTCCGGAATTTTACCGCACGGGTTTGGGTGCAATCGGAATGTTTTCGAAGATATTTCCCACGCGTTGACGTTTGTCAAAATACCCAAAAAATAACGGTCGTAGAAAAAGTATAGTATGCAACACGTTCGGTAAACTTTTTAACTCACTCGTTTATTAAACACTTGCTCCCCTCCTGTGAAATAAACTCGTGAGCCAAATGCCGTTTACCGCACTTGTTGCATAATATACTATATCCAGGTGATTTGCGTTAAAAAATATTCTACACTTAGAATTCTTAAACTCTAATTTAACTAATAATTAATTAATTATTATTATTATTAATTAATTAATCAGCACAAACATTTTACTCTGAATCTTTAAAAAAATTATCTAAAGAATACAAAATGAGCCTCGCGATATAAGAGCAGAACAGAAACAGCTAAGTAAAAGAAAAATATATGCGTAATCAACTAGAGTTTAACAATAAATGACGACTAATATAATGTAATTTCCAATTTGTAGATCAATTGCAATTAATTAGGGTCACACTAATTTGCATACAATAAAAAGCCGAGTTTGGAGTAGGAAAGTAAGGAAATATTAAATATAATAATGAGATTTTAATTTTTCTAAGATTAAGCAAATGAAAACATATATAGAAGTAAAAATAATATAAAAACAGATAACTTCAAGTAAGTTGTAATAAATATTTTTAAAAAAAATCTACTATTTACAATACAACTTCATTTGTAATAGTCGTTGGAGTCGAGAAAAATAAGTGTTTTCTAGTATGTTCCCAGCTTCCCAGATCTTTTCTTCCATATCAATTGTGCACTACCTAATTTTTCACAATTCACGTTTTTATTCCCTCGTGCAAGGTGGTCTGAGAGTATATATTGAGAATATATATTTTTTTATTTTAGAAAGCGCAGCTGTACTAATCCGTTAGTCAGCAACAAATTCAGAATCACTGGTCATTTTCAAAACGAACTTTGCCACCAACTGCCCAAAAACATAAACCATAATTCTGATTTAGGTAGGTCAACTATCTATCCCTCTATCTGCCATTCACGGGATCCTTGACGATCACTAAGACCACCAAGATTTGCAGTTCAGTAATGATTTATAACTGGCTGTGGCGAGGTGGCCCACTTAAGTTTTTTATTATTTTTTGTGACTTTCAACCATCAACTCGATTTATTTTTGACTAACTTTAACTAAATTTACCCAAATTTTGGCCAAGTTTCCGGATGTCGTGCCCCACTCTCCCCTGTTTATAATGTTATATATAATAATTATAATTATTTATTAAAAAGTATTTTATAAAAAAAAACGTTACTTATTAATAACTATTGTTATATAGATTAAAAAAATTGTTATTGGTATTTATGATTTTCGAGACTTAGGCTAAACCCGCAGAATTATCCAAAAAATAACACTTTCAATAAATTAATTATGATTCGATTATAATACATAGCTTTTTTAAGCGGTACATTTTGCCCCTGGTAATACGCAAAGGGTTAAAAATGTACAAATAACAACATAACAAATAATTAATGTAAGTAAGTCTCCCTTCAGGGGGGCCGAGTTGCCCCACCCTCCCACACTGGAGATCGAGAAAAAAAAATCAATTTTGATGACGTCACTGTAGTCTACTGATATTACTGTAATAATTTCTACTCCACTTATATCCTAAAAATGATTCATGTCAGAATCAGCTTCTTGCTGATTTTTTAAACCAAAATACTTCCATAGATTCGAATGACGCAGAACTTTATTTACCTTGAAACGTAATCCGGGCGGATCCGAAACGCAACCGCATTGGCTTCGAAAAAAATTTCTGTAGGTTTCAAATAATAATCGTGTATCGGAAGACCAGATGGTTGCGGCTTCGTTTGGGGCCAGCGCTTGCAATTCGCGTCTTTTTTTTCCTGCATATTTTTTTAGAAGTGATTTATTCGATCCGGATGGGAACAACGCCGTCGGCCTAAATATGGTTGCACGGAACATTAAGTCGCACCCAGCAGGAAATATTATTTAAAAGCTGAACTATTTTCTTTATACTTCGATAAAAGTCGAACGATTTTGAACATGAGGCGCAATAATCGTCAGCGTCCTCGTGCATCCATTGAGACAAACAACTAGAAGCTGAAATACCACAATTTTTGCATAAATTATATAAACATTTTTTTTATAATTTACAACCATATGTTTAGCTTTATTAAAAATCAATTTTAAGTTCTCTATATTTCAAAAAATGAAAAAAATATAAAAAATTTAGATATAACATACCAGTTGACAGCTGGAAAAATTCAGTATAGCACATTATATTTCTATACAAAACAACATATATCCTATTTTAATTCATCTCAACCACGACTCGGATAGTGAAATAGGCTAATATTTAGACATTTAGAATAGAAATGTAATTATGTATAGATATTCCTGGCTATGCCTATTTTCATAGTGTAATTTAATAAGATTAAACTCACCTAAATAAACAGAAAAAAATTATTACCAACACCTTTGAGAGTCCGTCCTTAATATACTTTAATCCCTACCGGGCCGGAGTTTTATTTCCGTTGGCAGGTAACTTCCATAATTGCATGCAAAAGCCAGCACGATGAAGATTGAGACAGATTATACCTAGGTTCTTAATGCGAGAGAAGAATAAAATGTCAATCTGCAATAACAGGCATCATTAAAAAACTTATCCTAAAGTCAGGTCAATAGCAATGAGAGTTTTCGATAAATCGCGTTTTCAGAAGGACGACACGTTTAGTGAATGAAAGTAATGTGATAGCGGCGCTATCACGGGTAGTTTATTAGAATAATACATATAATAATAATAATAATAATATACGTAATTTTAATTATAGAGAAGGAAAGATAAATCAGATATGAACTATTCTCATATCAATTAAAAATAATATACCAATAGATAAATGGGTGCCCTCCTGGGAAGTGTTCATCCCCGTACACACCTTGGTAAATTGTTGACTATACAACCCGTCACACTCACCAATTTTGTAACTGGTAATGTTAATTTTTTATGGCAAAGAGCTTCAACACAGTAAGAATAATGATTTTCTCATTCTTAGAAAGCACAGCTTTACTAATCCGTTCCTCAGTAACAGCCACCTGTATGCCACATAAGCATGTATAAAACTACGCTGAAGTTCCACATTCAGCATCTAATTATGTATTTTTCATTGGAAATTTTACAATGTAAATTTACCACAAAGAGTGGATTATTACACTAAATCTGTAATTATAAATCGTAAACGTGAATTTAATTGCACCATTAACTCAATATTAAGTTATGTATATTCAGAATGTTTTAGTGAATACTTTTACATGTTTATATGTGTAGAATAATACCATGCGGGTGTATGTGTTTTTTTTTTCAAATATTAATAAAAAAATAGTTTACAGAAAAATAATTATATTTTGTTTTAACTTATACTTCTTACTTAATTACGTTCTCTAATGAACACAAGCTATTGGCAGTTGGGTTTGCGAGCGTTTTTGCAAAACATAACTAAAAGGGTTTTGCTAATTAATAAATTTGTAAAGCTCAAAACATGAGCTTTATATAGTAAAAAGGCTACAGAAACGCAACAGAAAACCAAAACTAGAGACATAAAACTTTACGCAAGCGGAATTGAATGAATGAATAAAAAAAATAATGTAAAATTAGGCTTATATTTTTTCAGCGCAGTCGCAAAATGCATCTTAATAAAATAAGAAATAATGATGCAAAAAATGCCATTCTAAACCGTTATCATTCTTAATAATTGCAAAAAACAAGTAGCAAATTTCATTTGTGCTTCAAATTTTCCGCCAAAATCACGTATAGTTTGGACCAAGTATACGAAAAGTTACTAATACTTATATTTGCCTTCTTGCCAACTTTTCGATACTGTTTCCTTCCTTTCTTCTTCTCATTTGCGAATTTAAGAGACTTTAAGAGACATCATGATACACCAGAAAGAATGTAAGTAAATTTTCAGGTGCTCTAAAAGCACCCAAAAACGAAATCACTGGAATACGATTAAAAGTTTAATTGATCCAAACTATCCAGTTACTATTTTTTTGCTTGAATTTTGAATATTTTAGGCCACCATCAGGAATACCTATGCTGCCATATTTAACAGTTTTAAAATAAAATGTGGTGGTATTTAAGTTTCTCGCTAGCCACCTGGATGTCCGTGTGCAAAATTCAGTGCCATCGACATTCAATATTTCTGGCAGACAGTCAAATCTTATCAAGCACATGTTCCAAAAGTACAAAATAAAATCAACCGTCGCATTATACAACTAAGAATTTTATTTTAATTTTTAATGTTTAATTTTCACTTGTTTCTGAAATTAAAATAATATTTCACAACTAGCTCTTATTTATTTAACACATTTGACATTTGCTTAAAAGGTCCCTCATAGAACGGCCAATCTGAGTTGAAAAACTCCGGTTCTAGATCGCCGCCCTCAAATAGTATATTATGTAACATTCAGAGTGAAGCTTGAACTGACAAACATCCAAAACCCGTGCTTAAAATCTACCGAAAACATCCGATCGCTTCCAACCCGTGACTAAAATATAGCAAACGCGACAGTGTTTAATGAAGCTGACGTCTTACGGTGACAATTTGCGCACAGTGCGGTATTTTATAGTAGAAAGCCCATTTTCTGGATTCAAGAAAATTAGTTCTAAATATTAGTAAATAGTAAAGCTTTTTTGGTTAGTATAAGAAATACATAAAATTACCATGACAACATTAACCTCCTTGAAACTACGCCACGATTAGTTGACAAATTCGCAATGAAAAAAATTCACGCACTATTCACCACGTTCAAAAGAGACAACCGGCAACACCGCCGCAGTGAAAGTAAAATTGCATCGAATTGCAATTTTCGGAACCCTCGGTCGGTTGTGGAAGGGTTGCCAACGCCTGCGAAGAGCTTGTTCGCCGCATGGCAACAGCAAAAGTCGACGGTTGGTCGGAAATCTAACGTTGATATTTTGTAACGTTTCACCGACACCGTTTTCCATTGAGAGAGTTAATTACCTGTGAATTTTTTACGATTCCATTGTACTTTAATGACCGCGGTTAATTGGCATTTATATGGCGACCGGCTATGTGGATTGTTCTAAAATTACTGACACTGTGGAACAACTTGTTGAACCAGTAATAGCATGGATTCGGTGTGATGGAACTAATTCACATCGATACTTTTCCTATATTGTAAGCCAGTTTCTTAACCCCGCAACATCACGCTTATTTATTGATAATAGTATATTATGCGACAAGTGCGGTAAACGGCATTTGACTCACGAGTTTGACACAAGCGGAGCGCAGCGGAGCGAGTGTATTAATTAACGAGTGACTTAAAATGTTTACCGAGCGTGTTGCATACTATATTTTGTCTACGACCGTTAGTTTTTGGGTACATTTTCGCAAAACAACACGAATACATTCACTGACATGACCGTCAGAATTGACAAACGTCAAAATTCAAAGATTGCTTCCAAACCAGTGCGGTAAAATCCCGGAAATGTCCGAAGTGTCTCGGATCCGTGGGAAACGAAACTGATATGGTAAAGTGACGCTTCCTGCACGCCAGATCGGTGTGTAATTAGGTATTTTACAGACGGTAGTAAAAAAAATAAATTTTGTAGGTCGTAAAATAAAATTCAAGACAAATAATGCATAATATTAATGTCATACACACAAGGAAATGCATTCTATATTGCACATACCCTATCAGACAAAAGTCTTCAAAAATAAGATATATTTAATACAATTCCCAACATTATGATTATACATGAAAGGTATTGTATACAAATACAAAACATTTGAGGACATTAAATGAGGCTATGATTTATTGATGATCACAAACAAAACAAATGAATTTATTTTGGCATTAGTTTTAAATGCGTATTAGGGACGCGTCAAAAATAGAGCAACATTTCTAAAATTTGTTCAAAAAGACGCTTTTAGTAAAAGTAAATGCAAAAGTAACTCGTGTTGGGTTTATTTTGTGCTAAGTTAACCATTTGTGTGCAGGACTAGTTATGCCAAGAGGAATTCTAATTTCAAAAGACCTAAAGCAAAGAGTAGTAAATGCATTCATGGAAGGTACCAATCAAGCTGATATTTCAAGACAGTTTATGTTACCTCGGTACAGCGTATCTAGAATAATTTCATCGTATAATGACAGAGGACACTTAGAAAAATTGTCGAAATCGGGAAGACCCAAAAAAACAACGGTTTTGACTGACAGGCGCATTAAAAGAATTGCTCAACAAGATCCTAGGAACTCCGCGCTTCATAACCGGCTATAACCGTCATTATACTATAATTATACTAAATGAAACTTTTCTTTACTTGTCTAATGGCAAATGCCTGTTTCGTGCAATAAACAATTAATTTTTTAGGATAACCTATTTTTTTCAAATAGTGGGAACAAAAACTTTTTAAGACCGGTACTTTTTTTGCAACATTCTGACAGCAAAATTTTCAAAATCCCTTAAAAAATAACTTCAGGAAGGAAGAAACCAGATAAGTAAATAAATTTTTATAAAAACACAATTTTACTTAGGTGGTTTGCTTCTATTCATCGTCAAATCCGCATGATTTCCATTTCTTCACTTACAGTAAAATTATCATGTCGATTATTTTGTGGATTTCTCATTTTCAACTCCAGCTTTCTAAAGAAAGAATATGCAGGAAAGGGACGTCCCGGATAGCGGGCTGTATACTTTTTCTTCATTTGTAAATTGATCGATAATAAGAATAGAATAGAATAGAAGCAAAGCCTCCTAATTAAGTAAGTTTTTTCCTTCCCGTGACTTTATTTTTTAACGGATTTTGAAAATTTTGGTGTCAACATGTTGCAAAAAAAGTACCGGTTTTAAAAATTTTTTGTTCCCACTAGGATGTTAGTTAAAAAAATTAGGTTATCCTAAAAAAATAATAGGTCATTACATTAAATGCTAGTTGCCATTAGACAAGTAGAGAAAAGTTTCATTTATAATTTTTCCCATGACCAGGTGACCAGGTCAATAGTATTTATGACGGTCACACAAGACACAAGTTACAAAATGAAATAAAAATTTTAAAAAACGAAAAAGTGAGAAAAAACATCCTATCCTACGTAGAATGTTTTCCTGGGCCATTTAAAATTCGAAAGTTACTGTCGTTTCCGCTCAAACCGGGAGGGCAACCATTGACTACGACAACCATTGTCAAAAAATTGGACATTCAGCCCTTCCAAATTTCAAATCGCTATCTCAAGCAGTGTGTCACCCGGTATAGATGAGAAAGACAAAGACAAAAATTCCTATTAGTAGCGGTCCTTATCTCTTGTAAAATTTACCCAATAGAGGCTATTCCCGTTTAGATCGTGTTTACCGTTTTTAATATATTATAATTATATTTTTCAGTTTTGGCTGCACTCTTTCATAGAAACGTGTCTACTAGCAAGAAACGTAGAAAATAGTACCAAAAAACTAGTCTCCCGTAAAAGCAATCAAATAATCGTTTCTCATTAAACGCTGAATTTTGTGTGACGACAGTCTATTAATTGTTCGTTTTTTCTCTTACAACTAATCGATGGATTTCCTTGGTGACTGCAATCCCCAATGCGGCGTCTCATTAAAAACGCACTTGTTCCCCCTTCCCACTTCACGGACCTATACCGTTTCCTCTCGTCATTGGTTTTTTTTTGGCCCGTCGCTTTTTCGTCTCCGCATAACGAGGGTTGTCCTGCTATAAAACACGCCCGCAGCGAAAGAAAAAAAAAGAAGCGGAACCCCCTTGTAAATTGGAACTCGGGCCGCTCTACACTTTTTTTTTTTGAATATGAATGTGCATATCCTTTTTCAGAAGCGGGCAACTCTGCCCGTGCAATTTCCGATTGCGCTGACGCCACAGTTGCATAACGAACGGATTTTAAAAAAAAACGAAGGGTGGATTTCCCAGTTACATTATTAATTTTTTTTGCCGTTTGAGCGCTCTCGCGAAAAAAGAAAATTCAGGCAAATAGGTAAAGTCTGTTCATAGATATAAGAAAGTGACCAATTGCTTTTGAATAGGATATCCATTAACATACAATGCAACAAGATTATTACCTAAAGTTTCCGAATTTAAATTC